GCTTCCCGCCATGGGGCAGCTGCATCCCCTCTGTGCAGCTGAGGAAGTCAGAGCCCAAGGGGTCCAGGGGAGGCCCTGGCGGGAGTGCAGCGTCGACACCAGCCCAGTCCCTCGAGGAAGACTGCAAATCCACTGACTCACAGCTTTTCTGCTCCCATCCGAGAGGCAAATAAAGCTCCCCCAGAAGAGGTGCTGTCGGTCTTGCATGTAAAACCACAAGGTGGTGGAGACAGAGCATCCCACGCCTGCGTGACCACGGGAGCCCGCTGGGACTGCCCCACATCAGTTACTGAATCCACGGCCCCCCAGTCCCAAATAGGATCATCCGGGAGCATCTCAGAGCCTCAGACGGGGATGGGATGGGAGGGGATGGGACGGGCAGGGACGGGCAGACCTGCTTTGGGGGGGGCAGCACACCATAGACATTTTCTGCAAGGGGACACTCACAGCTACGTCAGGGAGGCTGCCTCTCTTCCCCAGGGCTCTGGTTGGCAAAATCACGAATGAAGGACCTGCAGATCTTGGGGGCCAGGAGGGCCACGGGAAGCCACAGGTCATCAGGGGTCACGAGCACGCCACAGCCTGATGTGAGCAGAGCTCTGCTCCTGGGGGCCGACTTGCAGGGCGCTGCCGTCCAGGGCAGTGGAGAGCTGGCGAGAGGCACACCCCGTCTCGTCCTCGCACCAGCATCAGCCGGGGGGGACATGTGGGATGTGCAGGGACGTCCCAGGCCGCAGCCCTGCAGGGGCTGGAGTGAGGCTGGACCTGCCACCGTCCCGTGCGGCCTTGGCCACCAAGGCCCGTAGGGGCTCGTCCCGGCCCGGGACTGTGGGGTGACAGTGCCAGCAGCGAGGGGCCAAGCGGCCACCACCTGCCCCACCTGCCCGGGTTCTACAGCCTCCGTGGCACACGGTGCACTTCAGGCTTACATCTGGCCGGCCCGAGCCCTCGCGGGGCGCATGGTGGACTCTGACTGCCCAGAGCCCTGAGGGCGGCCCAGTGGCCCAGGAACCCTCCCCCCTCCACCCGCGAGCTTCGTGTCACATGCTGCGCATCCTGGTCGCTCCTGGAGCTCGGCCTGCATCGCTGCTCTTCGTCTGAGAGGACACCACCATCACACGGACCCGGGCACCCCCGGGAGCCCCCTGACCGCGCTCCTGCCGGTAGGGCCCTCACGGACCCCCAGGTCCGTCCTGCTAAAGGCAACCCCTGGGTGTCTCATTCCTGAAAGACAACCTCCAGCGGCCCCCACAGCCCCGGGGAGCTGAAAGGCCCCCGGAGACCGAATAACCGGAGTCTCCACGATCGGTCGCGGGAAGTAACTCACGCTTTCAAAGGCAAAGTTCTTCCCGAGAAGGAATGATGTTAATATAAAAGGTGGGACGATGCGAGTCGCTCACCGCAGACCTTCCCGGGCTTACGACGGGGGTGGCTCCCAGGAGGCCCGTCTGCAGTGGGGAACACCGGGTGACAAGCACTGGCCGCCCCAAGCCCCCCGCGCGGCCCACCCGGCCCAGCCACGAGCACCCAGCTGGACAAAATCACCCACCATGAAGCGTAGCTAGTAACAGGGTGTTGACGGGCCCAAGCGGCATGGAGGATGTCGTCCTGGCTAACAGCACACACGCGTCCATCTCCACATGACTCGGGGGTCCGCCCCCACCGTGGGAACGGTCACGCACACCGTGCACGTTACTAGACGTTACAGGGCGAGCCTCCGTCCCCGGTCCCAACCCCTGGAGCCCTCAGCGGCCCTGCCGCCGTTTCTCAGGCTTCCAGACCACGTGTGTGCAAAGCCTTTTGCTCACATGTAGGAAAGCACGTCTGAGACTCTGCTCGGCAGGATGATGTTTTATTTTATTCATCATCTTTTTTTTTTTTTTTTAGGGGCAGAGGCAGAGGGAGAGAGAGGGGATCTCACGCAGGCTCCACGCCCAGCACGGAGTGCAAGGTTGGACTGGCCCGCTCCCCTGAGACTGCGACCTGCCCTCCTTCCCCAGCTCTCCTGTATCCCGTTCCACAGGTGTCACGTAGCTGCTCTAACCCCTTGCCTCGCCCTTGGATATTGCCCCCGATACTGCACCCACAGGATAAAATGTAAGATAAAAATGAAAATGCTGCCTTCCAAGCAGTATTGCGGGGCTGTGTGAGCTCCCCTTTTGCCCCAGCCTTTCTCCCAGAGCGTGGCGGAGACGGCCCGACCTGCAGACCTGGAGCAGCCCAGCTGCTGACCCCGTCGTTGGCCGGACCCCGAGGCTCTGGCTCACCGACAAGATCTGCAGGGCAGGCCAAGGGAGCTCCAAGAGCTGCCGGCTGGAGCCGCCTTGTGATCCTTTTTCCCTTCCGGCTTGGGGTCCACTGCGCTCGGAGACTAGCGGCCCCGGATGGTGCAGTCCATGCCCGATGCTGCCCTTGCAGGGACTCAGGCCACATGGACCGAGGGCAGGGACGGCTGTGCAGCCCGGGGAGGTGGGGGACTCAGGGGCCTGGAGGGAAAGGCGTCCTCGGGAAGGTGTGGATTGGCTGGTGCGACGGTGGGGGTCGGGGTTAGGCTGTGGGGAGTCGGGCTTGGGCCCTGGGGCAGCGCAGGAGGTCGGGGTCGGGCCACGGGGGTCAGACTCAGGCCGTGGAGGTGGTTGGGCTCGGGCCCTGGGGCCGCAGGGAGTTGGGCTCAGGCTGTGGGGGTGTTGGGCCGCAGGCGTCGGGCTTGGGCCGTGGGGATTGGGCTCGGGCCGCGGGGTTGGACTCAGGTCTTGGGGTGTTGTGGGCTGCTTCCCCCGGCCACATGCCTCTTGGGCACCGGGTCCAGGAGGAGAGCGGCCCTGGGGGCCACACCACCCCCACCGACGGCTCCACCGGAGGGGAGAACTGCGGGCTGCACAGGCCAAGAGTGCAGTGGCAGGATTTTGGGGGTGTCAGCGTGTGTGGCACCGGGTGGCACAGCCCCCACCCACAGTGGTCCTACCGCGGTTCCCAGGAGCCCGGGCTGAGGGTGGGCTGCGGGGTCCGGGTCGGTGCCCGGGCGGGGCAGCGGGGGATGGGTTGGGGTGTGAGGCTCTCGGACCCTCCTGCATAGCCGCACCACAGGGGGAGGGAAGTGGAGCAGGGGTGGGAGGGGGAGGGGAGCAGGCACAGAGGGGTGGGGAGGGACGGGGAGGGGAGGGGGTGCCTAGCAGGTGCCGTCTGGGCCCACCAGCCCATCTGTGGCTCCTGGGAGACCAGGGTCTAGGCAGGCAGGAAAACCTAATTCTGGAGGCTGCCGGGGGTTTTCCTTTTATTGTCAGTGGTCTCTGGCGTGTGGTCACTGGGCTCAGGACACCCAGGGATGGCCCGTGTCCCCACAGCCCCGCAGCCAGGTGGGCCCGAGCAGTCCAGGGGCCCTGTTGGGGACTCCTGGGCGCCTCCTTCGGGTGTGATAAGCAGGCCGCCCTGGGCAGCACGTTCCATGTCATCGCTCAGCACCGTCAAGTCTACGGGAAGAACTCACTCCCATTTTTCCCCCCGAACCATGACGACGCAGGCTTGCCCTTGGTTGGGGCGGGAGCAGCATCCCTCCCTGGTCTGGGAGAACCGTGAGGAGGTGGGAGATCCGCCGCCGTGCCGCTCGCCGGGCCACACGTGGGGGCTCACCTGTCGGGGGCCTGTGGTGCTCACGTGGTGGGGCAGGGAGCCCACACAGGTGCCCTGGGAGCCCGTCCCCGACACTCCAGCCCCCCTCCTGGTTGCACCCTCGTATGCACGTACCCGCTTGAATGAATTCACACCGGAAGATAGAAATCTAAAATTAAATATTTAATTAGAACTCTGATTTGCTTTAAAGATAGGTGGCATTGCACAGGCTATAGTACACTCTCTTTATAACTTTTTTTTCTTTTTTGACAAAAAAAGATACTGTTGATTTTAACAGGCCACTTTAATATTAATACATGTGTGATAGGATCGGAACTGAGAATCAGCTAGAGATGGTACATTGTACATTATTGGGAAAGTTACAGTTCTGTATCGTAAAAACATTTATCTTTTTTTTAACAATTTACCTACATTAATCAAAAAATTACAGCATATTTAATAATTTTACAAATTCTTCATAAAAAATATATCTCTGTACAAAAAGGTCGTTTGCACCTACTTCATGTCAGCAGCATGTGGCGAGATGGTAACACGGGGCGGGCGGAGATGCGGTGGGTTTCCTGATCGTGACACCAGCGTTCTTTCCCCCTGTTTGAGAATAGCTTTTTTTTTTCTTTTTCTGTGTGTGTGTGTGTGTGTGTGTGTGTGTGGTTGTTTACAAAATATCTTACAGAAGAAAAAAATTATTGCAGCTAGCCTGAAGAAAGGCAAAAGATGTGTGAAACAAGCAGCAGTTTTAAACAGCTCTGAAGCACATGACCGGTGTTAGCGTGGGGTCCTTCCCGCCCCGGGCTCCGGGGGCTTCCAGGAGGAGTGTCGCCGCCCGGCGCGGGGAGCGTGTGTGCGGCCGCCTGCACGGGGCCCTCCGACACCTGGCGGCAGATCTGAATGCTCCCGCACACACCCTGGGAGGAGGCTATGCAGCATCCCCGCAGGAGGATTTCACGGAGTGGGGTGGGCTGTTTTTGTTTGTGTGTTTTTTTTTTTCTTTCTCGTTTGTTTGTTTGTTTGTTTGTTGAGAACATGCTCCAAACTGGCAACCAAAGGCCGGGTTGACTCTGCACACAAAGGAAAATAACGTCTAACATGATATGTGGTTTCTGTGCGTGTGTGTGTGTCCTGTCGGTCCAGGAGTTGGTGACGTCGTTGACCGGCAAGCAGGTCAGGGACGGGGGAAGAGCGACATTGGTCCAGACTCCGAAGTCAGCGTTTTGCACCTAGTTTGAATGACTCAAACTCAGATATGTACAAGGTATTTATATATATGCACGTATGTATAGATATATACACCTGGCGTAGGGCGTCCCCTGCCCCGGCTCCCCCCGCCCCCTGCACTCGCCGCCCCCCAGCCCCTCCGCGTGGTTCTGGCTCCCGCTGACCTCCTCTGGCCCGAGGACAGCTCGGGTAACGGCCCCGGGTCGCGCAGCACATCTCCGGGCGCGGTAGCGGGCCGGCCGGCGGCGGGGGGGGGGCACGGAGCTCTGCATGGTGCTCAGGAACGCGGGAGCGGGATTCCGAAGGCCGAGAAGCCCCTAGAAGAGGTCAGCCAGGCCCTCCTAACGGCGCTCGCCCCTTCGAACAAGGGACAGAACAGTGGGAACCAAAGACACGAAGTCCGCGAAATGCCCACATCGACACACACGACTTGGACGGATGAGCTATTATCCTGACAGGTGTTTGCGACTTTTTTTTTCTTTCTTTCATTTTTCACGTTTGAAGTCCTGCCTTGAGACGCTCAACAGAGAAACCAACGTGTCTGCCTCCACGCCAGGTGTGGCCGTGTCCGCCGGGCGCTGTGGACCCTGGCCTGGGAACGAACCGAAGACCCCGATGAGAGAATAAGCATCACCTGTTCAAAACGTCTCTGATCAAACCGGTATCAGTGAAGACAAACATGATCTTCGCCTGGATCTGGTTACATCTGACGTCTCCCCGCCACGTCCTGGCCTTCACGCTTTGACCCTACCCACCCCGGGGCGGGGAGGTCACACCGACCGTCTTCAGACCATAACTCAGAACGTACAGAGAATACACTTTAAAGGTGGAAAAAAAAAAAAAACACCCAAATCGTCTCTGCTTCTGGGCTTCGCAGGAAACTGAAGCCACAGCAAAGTACGAGACGTGTCATCAGGCAGGGAGCGTGTGCGTCACCGCCCCTTGCCTCCAGGGGAACACCCGGCATCTGGATCCTGGCCCAGCCCCACCGAGGTCAAGGCGCCACCTGGTAACCGTCTTTTCATGCGTGGCCAGCGGGTGGCGGCGCCCCGGGGGGCAAACCACGGCGCACAGGAAGACGGCGGTGGGCTGACCCCGCACGTTCTCGAGCTATCGGAAATAAATTAACTATTGACATTTTGTACATGGCAGAGAGAGATGCTGCGACCCGCCCCCCGCCATCCCGCGCGGCCGCGGTGGTGCTCCGGGCGATCCCGAGCGGGGGACCGTGTGTGCGGGAGGAAACATAAAAAGGCCTCTTTTTTTTTTCCTTTTTCGACATCTTCGATGAATTCGACACACACATGTAAGTAAAGGAAGCAGTAATAAAATAAATGTCTTCAACACCGCATTTCCCTCTTACACCTGTGCCACGTCAGCGACACTTCCTCTCTCTAACACGCCAACTGAACGGATGGTGGATGTTTCGCTTGACCGCGTGGGAAGATGCTTATATACAATGGATCGTGTGTATAAACCCTGTGTAAATAGTTTATTTTTTTATCAGAATCTTACTCAGTCATTCATAACACACTAGTGCAAAAAAATTGTGCATCAAAAATTCTGCAATAGGACAGCTGACCGGGGGAATTTGCGGACGGCCCTAGGAATGGACACTGAGCGGACCTGTGAGTCCTCAAAGCTTGTCAGGTCTCAGGAAGGACAGAGTGAAGCGTTTGCAGGTGTGTGCGTCTACCAGAAAGGTGTCTTCTTCGAGAGAGAGCTTTTTTTTTTTTTCAGAGTGTTCCTATTCATGGGGGTTAAAACAAGAACAAAAACCATAAAACAACCGAACGACGTGTTGTGGTGTTGTGGTGCTACCATTTTGTCACCGCACCCGAAGGATGTATCCACGTGCCCAGGAGATTGCATTGAAAGGCATCCCAGCCACACAGAAATCGGAAGGTCCGAGGCGTCGAGCACGCAGCGGCGGCGTGACTCGCAGCCTTCCCTGCGCTCGCCGTGGCTCCCGGCCGCCGGGCGGCGGGGCTCGTGCCATCCCGTCCTCGCCAGGCTGCGGCCCGCGACCGGTCACCGCGCAAAGCCAGGAGTGCAGGGGGTGGTCTGTGGCACCAAAGGAGTTACTGCTTGTCCGTCGGAGGTATGGCTATGAGTCAGTCCTAAGGGCACTGAGGGCTATACCACTGTGCACACTGTGTTCAGAGTCGTGTCAAACCGCACAGCCTTGGCCTCTGTGGGTTTTAAGTTTGTGTCATACATGGGGTTTTCAAAGGAAGCTTGTCCGTTGCTGTTTTCGTGTCCCGCGTAGCCATTGTACTGAACTTTTGGTCTCGTTCTAAAGGGCAAAGAAGGGACAGACCGTTAGCACCCAGGTTTCGAGAACAGAGGCTCAGTGACTGAGGCCGAAGGTCGGCGGGGAGCGCACGGGCCGGGGCGGCGGTGGCAGGGCCCGCGCATGTCCTCGGCCCCACACCTGCTGCCTCCCCTGATCTGCTCCTTTCCAAACCAAGGAACTATCTGATTCCTGGGAATACTCTTGGCCACCGGGGAGGGCCCGCCGTGCCGGGGTCCCCGGGATTTGGGAATAGACACCTGTCCGTCACGTCACATGACCGTGGGGAAGTCATTCCGGAAAGCGGGACGCTTCGTCAGCACATCGCCCCTTCAGGACTGCTTGTGGGGGAGGGAAACAGAAACATGGACTCTAGTCCACCACCCTTGTGACCGTTGCTATCTGCCAGCGGTTGTTGAGGACGTAACGTGGCCGGGGACCAGGTTCACAGGAGACACCGCACTGCGTCAAACTATCGGTTACATTGATTACATAAAAGGGAACCCCTGAGTACGATCTACGATTAGAGAACTGAAGGATATTTATTTATTTATTTATTTATTTATTTATTTATTTGAATGGAATGATTTTTATTTTCATTTTTAAAGATTTTATTTATTTATTCATGAGAGACATAGAGAGAGAGAGAGAGGCAGAGAAACAGGCAGGGAGAAACAGGCAGAGGGAGAAGCAGGCTCCTGCCCAAATTGAAGGATTTTTAGATGTAAAAGACGTAAAGCTATCTAGTCTCTGCCCCCCCCAACCCTTTTCCAGAAGAAACTACATAAGAGAAATACACCAGGTGGTCAAAACAACTTTAAAGACCCACACTAGCAAAAACATCCCTGGATATTGGATGTGAGGATCCTTCCCATAATTTCCTAGTAGATATATATATATATTTAAACATTTTATTTTTAACTATTCATAGAGACACACACACACACAGAGAGAGAGAGAGAGAGGCAGAGACACAGGCAGAGGGAGAAGCAGGCTCCATGCAGGGAGCCCGACGTGGACTCGATCCCGGGATCCCGGAAACACGACCTGAGCCGAAGGCAGGCGCTCAACCCCTGAGCCACCCGGGGGGGCCCTAGTAGATTTTTTTAATTTACTTTATGCTCCTTGAAGAAAAAAGAGAAGTGAAAGTGCACGTCTCAGAGACTTAGGTTTCCGTCATCAGAAGAGAAGACTTCAACTCCTGGGACCGGGGACGTCTTTGACGTTGGGTCTGAAAATGCTCCAGCAGTCAAAGCTCATAATCACATTCAGCCAAATGTAAATGAGATGTGAAGCTCCCTAAAATCTGCATGTCCTGTCCCCGGCCAGGGGTCAGCACCCCACAGGGCCAGGGGCCCAGGGAGCTGGATGGGCTCAGGACTGGGGGCAAGGAAGCAGGTGCGGAGCAGCCCCCGGGGGTCCTGAGTCTGGCCCAGCCCTGCTGGAGGCAACAGCCTGATGCATGAGGTCATGAGGGAAGCCCAGACCTGAGTGGGAGTGAGGCTGCAGGTGAAGAAACACGGGGCCGGCCGCTTAAGGAGCATCTTTGCTGAGGCTGAGAAGCCAGCACAGCGAGGGGGGTGGCCTGGGCACCCCGGGGACTCAGCCACCACTCACAGGGCTTTATGGGCCGCCTGCGGGTCAGGGCCCTGCTCCTGCAGAAGCCCCCCACCCACACGGGGCACAGAGACAGAGCACACGGGACGCAGTCACTTCGGGACTCATGTGCTGACAGGCCCCTGACGGCTGTGCAGGGAGGTGGCCTTTGGCACGTCTCTGGCCAGCGCGGCCCCCACGACAAGGACGCGAGAGCCTGGCGGCGGCCAGAGCCCCGGCCCACAGGCCTGGGGAGGCCGACAGGGGCTCACACACACCCAGAGGTGCTCCCCCCCGATGCCCCAGTCCTCAGGGCCGGCCCATGGGGGGGGCACGGACTCCAGGCAGAGGACACTAGTGGGGCTCCCGGAGGCCCCCTCCAGACAGGGGACGAAGAACGTCCAAGGCTGCCTCCTTCCCTGGGGTTGACACGCATGCCAAGAACCAAAAAGAACAAAAAAACGAATTTGTAGGAATTAGAAATTCCTACCATATGGGTCTCTCTCTGTAAGGGTATCATGGTTCCTGGAGAAACGTGTGAAGACGCTTCTGAGATTTCTACTTCTTTAAGTAGAGAAGCACTTTCAAGGATGGTATTTTATCGGATAAAGCGGTGGGATTTTAATTTTTTTAATATATATTTACTACATTTTCAACTAGCCTCAAAGAGAAATTTGAGGATAAGGCTCATCAGGCTTGGGTGTGGAGAATACTGTTTCCTCAAACGAACCAAATTAATTAATTCATACAGATGACCCAATCTTTGATTTTGTCAGGTACCATTTGAGATTCCTTTTTGTAGAATTATATTTTTAAAGGAAGTACGTTACCAACCACAACAAAGTGAAGACATACATGTGATCAGCTATGCAATATAGTTTCTAATATTCTTAATTACTTTACACATGTTTAAGAGGCATAAGAAAGCACATATTTAAAGTTTACCTATGAGTCATTGAAAAACTCCTCAGCAGATTTTCTTTTTTAAAACCAGGATGAGGATGATGATGATGATGATTTTAAAACCAGAATTATGAAATAGAAATATATATATTATATAGATGAATGTTAAACACTTTTAACATACTCTTATTTTAGAGAATCATAGTTTTTTTCCTTTTTTTCTTTTCTAGGTTTTGTTGTTGTTGTTGTTGTTTTGTTTGTTTTTGAGAATGCCACTATTCCAAATAGTATTTTATTTTTATTTATTTAATTTATTTTTTTAAAGATTTATTTACTTATTCACGAGACACACACACACACACACACACACAGAGGGAGAGGCAGAGACCCAGGCAGAGGGAGAAGCAGGCTCCATGCAGGGAGCCCGATGTGGGACTTGATCCCAGGTCTCCAGGATCAGGCCCTGGGCTGAAAGCAGGTGCTTAACTGCTAAGCCACCTGGGCATCCCCCCAAATAGTATTTTAGAACAGTTTGGCATAGTGTCACATTCTTCCAGGAAATACATCATCCAGAAAAAGATGAAATGTATAAGGACTTAAAATTCCTCCACAGCTTAGTCTCGCTTTTTTGGGGGGGGGGGTGGCGCGTGGAGGGAGGAGCATCTACAAACTCCAATGAAAGGATCTATTTCATTAGAGTTGGTTTTGTCAAGTGTTGTCATTTTTCAGCTAGTGGGGGTATGGAAATTAAGAGATAGAACACATTTTCAAGGGATGGAACATGTAATATCTCTTAGTACATAGTAAGAGCTCAGTTTGTACCTGCCAAAGAAAGGAATAAATCAACAGTTTAAAAATCACAGATTCGTGGAGTTGAAAGTGTTCATAAAGAGCATTTTGGGGCAGCCCGGGTAGCCCAGTGGTTAAGCACCACCTTCAGCCCAGGGCGTGACCCCGGGGGTCCTGGGATTGAGTCTCACATCAAGCTCCCTGCATGGAGCCTGCTTCTCCCTCTGCCTCTCTCTCTCTCTCTCTCTCTCTCTCTCTCTCTGTGTGTGTGTGTGTGTGTGTCTCTCATGAGTAAATAAATAAAACCTTAAAAAAAAAAACATTCTGTTCAATCTTCTGCTGGAAGGTGGAAATAGCACCCTAATATCCCTGACTGTGGACCTTGAAGTAGAAAACCGGTCCTTTATTGCATCTTTCGATCAACTATGAACTATAGCATGTTATTTCTTAATCCATTTATTTATTCTCCTAAAGTTCACTCCTCAAACTCGGCCTGCTGAAAAAGTATGGCAAATGGCAGAGCAAAACCTTGCCTCACGAGCATCCTTAACGTCTGAGAGAATACTGCAGAGCCGTGCAACACACATATGCATGTGACAGGGAGCAGACGCATGTTCACCAGACCAGCGCTTTACAAGCACAGCGTTTTCATACTGTTGGCGTTTTCACAGTACCTGTGTTTGTAGAGGTAAAATGCAAACCCTGACAAAATTAGAGCAAAGAATGGAACCAGAATGGCAGCTGCGACGGAGCCACTACTAGTGCCGTGGTAATGATTTGAAGAGTCTTGGTCAGATTTTAAGGGATCTGGAAAATAAAAGGAATAATTAATTTGCGGGTACCGTACTCATACTCCAACAAACGTAAATTTACGGTAAATTGTATAAATGGGTCCAAACTCTACAGGAAGCGATGCCACAGTTAGACTGGTAACTCTTTTTGAAAGGTCTTAAAATATGTTGATGATCAACTAACAGAAACTAGGTCTCTCCATACATGGCATTTCGTTCTACACATGGGAATATGTGGGTGTAATCTTTCTTATGCAAAATTCATTGGAGTTGAAGAACATGGTTCATAAGGTAAGTTTATGAGGACACGAAATAGTGATAAAACATATTTCCATCCACTAGAAGGGAAGGCAGATGTAAACGCCTCAAACATCACAAAGGTGACGTAGTCGTGAATTTATGATCCATATCGACAGAATGGCGGGTAGATGTGTGGCCTTGTAAGGGATGCAAACACTGAAAATTCTAATCAGAAAACATCTATTAAGGAATTATTGCCAAATAAGGAGGTTTGTTCTTAGGAGTTTACTGATAGAATGAATTTTGAAATGTATTTGCCTGAATCGGATGAGCCCACTCAGTGTGCGTGTGCAGTGGATTCCGAGGAGGGTCGTCTGAACCTGTCAGAATTGCTGCAAAGAAGCCGACCTGGTTTTAGAAGTATATTTCCAGCATTTATGGAATGTCAAATAAAAGAGTTCTATTTCACTTTTTTCCACAAACCACAAATGTAAATGAGCAATCAAATATTAAATGTATTTAAATAGCTTTAAAAAATATCATTTTCACATTTAAGGCGTCATAATGATGTGATGTGTCATTGCCTCAGCAGATTCAGGATTTTGCAACTCCTTACCATTGTAAGGTCTAATATTTTATAGCATATTTCTAATATATTTCATAATTGGTCTTGGCTCTTTGTAACTTAACCCTAATTCTTTGAGAGCCTTCCTTATCAGCACGTATCAATCGGATTGCATGTTTCATTATCAGATGCATTCACCACCCTCCACGGAAGGGGAAGATGTCAGACACTTGTCTCTAAATCTCGCATCCCGTTGGAAGCCCCCACCTTGGGCACTGAATCAGAGTGGCTGGTGCAGAACACCCTGAAATGGTGGGAGCCCAGCCTGTGGCTGCAGCAGAGGAACAGCCTGAGGACGGGCCGAGTGCCCGGTGGTGCGTCCAGTGGTGACCCCACCTGCACTGGGAGCTGAGGCATAGCACTCAGGGGGCACCAGATCCTCTGATTTGAGGTGACATTTAAATATCAGGACACCTCCGCTGCCTGGCCCACAGGACGATGCCTAGCACACAGCACAAACCGCGCAAGTTTGCCGGTCCCCATGTTGATAGAACAGAAGCTCCGTTATGCCGGGGAGCTGGCTGGCCAGCTTTCCTCCTGAATCCCGGTGCCTGCAAGAGAACCTAGAACACAGTGGTTGCTCACGGTGTGCGTGGAAGTGAAACGGGGTGCAGACAGTACCTCAGCACCCACCAGCCTCTGTTGAGTTACCACGCCTCATTCTCTAGGTTGCCGTAATTCTGTGAGTCTCTTTGCCTCATTCTAATAAATTTGGGTTCTGCTTAAATTAACCAAAGTTACTGTTTGTCACCTGCAGACAAGACTATCTACTTTCCACCATAATAGGTATCAGGCTTCTTGCCAATAAAATCGTGGAAAATCAGCATGCCTAGGGAGGCTGGGCATCGTAACGCAGAGCGATGTAAGAGATCTGTGGGAACTATGGAGCGAAGTGTATTTTGAGGACATTATGCCTTCAGAAGCTCCTGGTTAATTGCAGCTATTTATTTACCCTTGCTTCAGTAATTTAAAGGGCGTGCAGTAGAGTGCGCATGAAATTAATGAAAATGGCATAAAAAATATATAAAGAATAGAAAGGACAATGGAAATAAAGTGTCACTCTTTGCCCTTAATGCTAGTCTTCCTCTTTATGGCTGTTTTTTCAATGCCCTTCCAGCCATGTACTATTAATATGTATGTTAGTTTCTCTTCTCGTGCTTTTCTAAAAAAAATGGGAATACTAAATACATTTATTTTTTTTGTATTTGGCTTTTTAAACTTAACCATATATGTTTGAAGTTCTTCATCAGCACTCATGAATCAGGTTTATTTCGGAGGTGTATAGTATTGTACTAATTGGCTATGCCAGAATTTTTCCAGCCAATCTACCTTTGAAGAACATTTAGGCCATTTCCAGTATTGTCCTAATGCTGCGATGAAATCTTGTTCCTATGACTAGACATCAGCAGGAGTCTAAATATACAGGGTAAATCCTACCCCGTAGAATCACTGCCTAACAGAATTTGTGACTTCCACTGTTGCCCTATCTTACCTGATTGCCCTCCACAGTGATGCTTCACATTCATTCCAACCACTGTTCCCTGAGGGCTAATACCAAAATGCTGGGCAACCGCATCACATCCAGCTGCCACCCTCTTCCCCTGGCCTTCCCTTCCTCCCATCTGCCCCGCTTCTTCTTACTATTACTACTACTCCTGCTCTGACAAATCAAACGTGGAATGTCCTTAGTTTCTCATTTACATTTCTTTGCTTAAGAATGAAGGTGAGCATCTCTTCATATGTGATAAGCTAACCCATTCAGTTTTTTTAAAGTTCATTATTGAAAGGACTTCATGTACCAGAGAATTCGCCCAAAGTATATATAAGTCTACTGATGGACAAAGACGACGTGATGTATATATGTGTGTGGATCTGTATATGTGGGATGTGTATACACACACACAAGCCATGGAATAGGACTCATCCAAGGGAAAAAAGAAGCAGCAGCAGCTCTTGCCATTTGTGACAAAATGGGTGGACCTAGAAGGTGTTATGTTGAGTGAAATAAGTCAGAGAGAGAAAGACAAATACCATACGAGTTCACTTGTGTGTGCAATCTAAAAACAAACCAAACAAAAACCAAATAGGCCTTATGCTGAGAACAAACTCATGGTTGTCAGAAGGGGGGTGAGTAAAGGGATAGTTGAAACAGATACAGGAGATTAAGAGGTACAAACTTTCAGTTATAAAATAAATAAGTAAAAAATAAATAAATAAATAAATAAATAAATAAATAAATAAATAAATAAAATAAATAAGTCGCAGGGATGAAAAGCACCACATGGAGAATATTGTGAATAGTATTATAATAATGTTGTATGGCGACTACACCTATCGTGGTGAGCACAGACTAATGAATAGGCTTGGAAACACTGTGTTGTAACCCTGAAACCAACAGAACATTGCCTGTCAATTATACTGCAATAATAAATTAAACATAAATAAAAATAATAAATAAGAATAAAGCATACATACAGCCCAAAGTTCCTTTAGTATATTCACATGGCATTATAATCATTGCTATGATTTGATCATAGAACACTGCTGCCTCCCCTAAAGGAAACTCCGTGTCCCTTGGAGGTCATTGCTCACAGCCCAACCTCCAGCTCCAGTCAACCCCGATCTGCTGTCTGTTTCTTTAGGTCTGCTTGTTCTGGGCAGTTCACATAAATGGAATCATACTATGTATATATATATATATATATATATATATATATATATATATATATAATTTTTTTGCATATGTGAATGATTCCTATGAGGAAAGACCTCCTCATAAGGTCTTTCCAAGATAATATTCCATTGTATGGATATACCACATTTTGCTCATCTATTCGTTAGTTGATGGGCATCCAGGTAGCTTCCACGTTTGGGCTTTTGGAATCATGCTTCTATGAGCACTGTGCACATATTTTCGTGTGAACATATGTTCTCACATCTGTCGTGTCGGCCAAACATGTAGAAATGGAATGGCCGCGCCTCGTGGTAACTTTATGTTTAGCTGCTTCCTCCAGCAGCGGGACCATTTCCACGGTATGAGGGTTCCAATCTCTCCACACTTTGGCCACCGCTTGTCTGTGTGATCAGTGCCAACCCAGTGTTCGTGAGGTGGTGTCTCAGTGCGGTTTCATTTATGTTCCTCGAATGACTCATGACGTTGGGCATCTTTTCAGGGGCCTAATGATCATTTGCGTATTTTTTAAGAGATGTCTAATCAAATCCTTTGCCAACTTTTAAGTTAGGTTATTGGCTTCTGTATTAATGAACCATAGGAGCCCTTTATATATTCTGGGTACAAGTCCTTTATCAAATGCCTACTTTACACTGCTTTTCTTCCATTCTGTTTACATGTGTACGTGGGGTTGTGGATGGGGCAATTCAGGTTAAATGGGCAAACCAGCCTATCACTAGGTTTTGCATTAGAGTGGTCTTTCCACCCAACTTGGGTTAATATTCACTTAATGATCATCACTTTCCTCCAGTTTATCTACTGACTGGAGGAGACAATGAAGAAGTTGTTTATTTTTAATCCATAAAAATAGGGTTTAGCCAAATCCAAGATGAATGGTCGCTGGTGAAGCATATTGAAGCGTCAACTTTTCTAATTAGTTGAATGGGAGGCTTGCTTGTGATTCAGATTATTTGTGAGGCAAACTGTTTTTCCTGACAATAAACTCGTCATCACACGAGAATAAAGATTACTTGTTAAAGCAAGCTGCTATTTTGTTAGATTAGAAAGAAATGGTGTAATGTGAGGAGATTTGCAAAAGCATAGTGACAGTGCAAGCTGGCTTCATGGGATGAGTAAGCCCAGACAGCCACAGGGTATCTTGTCCTGCTCACCGGGGCATCCTTCAGCGGAATTACTAGAGCGTGTGCTGAGGGAAGAAGGAGGACGATAACTGCAGGGTTTTTGGCTTAGAACAAGAGAAAATTTTGCTCATCATTAGTGTTGGTCCAATGCATTTATCCTATTTTATTACCTCAAAATAACATAACCCAATTTAAAGGAGCATCTCCACCATCGATGACATAATTTAAAGCTCTTTATTTAGAAGTACCGCACTTGGAAAGATGGAGTTAGAGTATTTTATGATTAATCATTCTTTTTGATCAAGTGTTTTTTTTAAATATAATAATACACAAATTGGGATACCTTTCCTTTGGAATCCCTCAGACTTTTATCTTGGTAAAAGTTTTATGAAATGGGTAATCGGTGACAACCATCACAAAATATTACACTCTCATGTCTCTGAAAGGCAGCTCTGGTATTAAAGCCTATATGGGCATAGTGGTTTCTATAAAATTATTATGTTAATGGTATTCAACAAGTAAAGTATAATGTAGTCTATACTGTTCAGGAGAAACGTGGTGCTAATCTCATTACAAAAGGCATTTTCTCCTCCATGTCAGCAGTGACAACAGCCATGACTTCCACATGTGAAGAGCTTCAGCATGCACCAGGCAAGCACTTTACAGTGTCTCCTAATCTTATTTTTTTTCTCCTAATCTTAGTAACAATCCAGAACTGATGTACCTATGAGATGTCAGACAAACAAAGAGGCCCAAGACCAATGTAACCCATCCTAGATTACAAAACTAGCTGGTAGATGAGGTAGGCTTCTACTCTAGTGACTTTTTTTCCCATATATTTTATTTCTCTGATTACTAAGATAAAAAGCAAGTCTTAGAGAAAGATAGGAAAGAGGACCTATCTGTCTGTCTATCCATGGTGAGCTTTCTTCTCATATGGAAGTCATGGATGTCTCTGCACGTCAGTATACAGTCCTCACGTCTTTAATGAAATATACTGAATTAAATTGCTTCCTATTTAATGCAACAGTTTGCATAAAATTATTTACTTAAGCAACTCTCTGATGATAGCTGTGTGAGATGCATGAAGAGTAATTTTCACACTTGTCTGGCTGAAATCTCCAAAGGCAAACACACTGGGTGAAAGGTGTCATCAGATCATCCTTATTTGGCTGGACTCCCTCTAAAATGGAGCACCATGGTACCCATGCCTACTGTTCCCCAGAATAATTGCTTTCTTTAAAGATCTGATGTTCTAATCATTAAGGATGGAAAAATCTTTGTTACCATAATGTTTTTTTTTTTTTGAGTTAAAGACTTTTTCATAGTTTGTTGGCCACTCCTTATTCCTCTGATAATTTTCCTAGGGCAAAGTAGTTAGCTTAATTTTCCGAGTTTCATCTTTCTTTATTTTACCCATATTTTTTAGTATCTCTTCCTAGAGTAAGGATATGAATTCCATATCTGGCATACATATTGCATTTTTCCAGCTCTGTATTGTCAGTTCTGCTATTCACAACATTTAATTTTTATTCTGTTGTAAAATATGTTCGTCCTTCCCATTACTTCTATTTATGTTCTTTCCAAAGTCAGGGCCTTCCAATTACTTTTCAGTGCAATCATTTGAAGACCAAATTGATATTTGCTTAAAAAAAAAAAAAAACAACAACATAAGAGCACTTACCTTGCCTTTCGAGCTTGAATTTTCCAAAGTCTTTTCCATGAATATCACCTTGAAGAGTAAATCCTCCTCTCTCGAGTCCTGATGACACCTGGTATGCATGAACAGAAAGAAAACAGTGCATAGCGAGGATTAATAATACTCTCTCTTCTATCATAATATAACTGTATTTCTCACAGCTAGATACCCCAGGTCAAATATTTTGTTTTGGGCCTTCCTTCCAGTGACACGTTAGTGTTAAAAACTGGAAAAGACACATGTGAATTTCAACTAACCTCTGCATTCCCAATATGTCATTTTCACCCCGAAACAGGTTGTAAAATTTACAACACATTCAAAGGTTAACCATCCCTTGTAAAGGGGACCGATACACGAATTACTATATAACCTACATTACGTCAAACTCTCTTGTGACACAACCTGGAGCCTGGAGACTCTTAGGCCCGATAATGAATGAGAACACAAAGGATGGTTAACTTGCAAAGAAGGATCTCGATGAGACATCTTAAATCTCTGACTCTGGGAATGACTTTTTTTAGAGCTTTCAGAGAGGTTACCCAATGGGCGTGTTCAGATGTCAAGTGGGAATGTGGTGTTGAGCACACAGAACACGGATCTAAGTCTTGCTCTGTCCCAGCTGTAACCACTCGTCTATATCTCATTTCAGAAACTAGGTTTCTTCCTTTTATAAAGCAAAGGGGTAAGACGACTGCGCTGTTTGCGAAGCAGAGGGAACGATGTGTTTTTGAGGGGCCCCCTTCACCTCACAGGGACCTCTGTGATCCGACCCCGTGCTGCGTGACAACCCTCCACGGCAAGTACTCACGTAACCAGCCAGTCCCCAGTTGTCGTTTTCAAACTTGCTCACGAAAATATCTGCAGGACCTTTAATTTGAAAAGCTTTCAGAAGTAAGTGAGCCTCTTCTTTCTTGTAAACTCCTACGAAAAAAACCCAAATAGTTATGCTTACATTGTAGGAACAAGCATAAAGGTTAATAACTCAGGCATTCGACCTATTTGCTCTGAAGTATGGTCCAGAGACGACAATATCAGGAATAATAGAAATTCTTGTTTTTACTCTTAAACTGTGGCTTCCGGACTCCGGTTCTCTTGGAAAGCCCTTCTGTGTAAGCCCATGCCCGTCTCGAACAGGACCCTTCCTCTTCGTTAAATTCAACATCTTTATCCCACAGAAAGAATAAAGGGAATACACATCCAAGTATGTTAATGTCTTAAAATGTAGCATTTTCAATTCGTATTTTCTTCATCTGTGAGGACAAAAGACCGTGACCATGAGCCCAAATGGCACGATGTCTACAGGTGAATCGCATGCCCCGAAGCAAGACACAGGGTGCCGGGGTCAGGGTGCAGGGGGCCCGGCGGAGCCAGCGCCACTGGCCTGGGATGTCACCGCCCCGGCTGGGGGCAGCGGGGTAGCTTGAGCACGTGGCTACGGGGAGAGGCAATGAGGCAGGGCAGGCCGCCAGCCAGGAGCCCCGGGGACACAGCAAACACACGGCACCCTAGGGTGCTCTGTGCAGGCCACGCCGCCAGCAGAGAGAGGGCAGCTGTGACCCCCATGGACTCGGCCCAGGGCAGCGAGTCCCCCTGTTCCGGGACCATCTCCGCAGCCTGTCCACACGGGGGCAGGGACCCAGGGGTCGGTCCCCGGGCTAGAAGGACCTCCAGCCCTCACCTGGGCGGGGTCCGCTTCACCCTCAGTGGCTCGGTGTAGTCCTAGAGGCGATGCTGGACCTTGGTTAGGAGTGTGGACTCAAGATTCAGGTCCCGAGATTCTGATTCCTGAGTTCAAATTCTACCCCTACCATGTCCCCTAAGGAAGGCCACTTGATTTTCTTGTCTCTCTCTCTCTCTGTGTCTGTTGTCAGTAAAGAATGTGCTGGTGAGAATGCTCATATCATAGGACTGAGATAAGAATGAGACAGATGCTATCTGTAAGCACTTAAAATGGGGTCTGGCATATAAATCAGAGCTATTGTTATTTTATTAACAGTGGGATGAACAACAACAAAAGGATCTCCTGAGGAGCACATTAGGTTGAAGGAAAGGATATAAAAGAATGAAATTTGGAGACACACATATATGGATACAAATCTCACATCTTTGACTTAGCACGTCACGTGCATAATCTGGAGCAAGTTAATTAGATTTTCTATACTGGTTTTGTGGCCTTTAAAGATGACAGCACCAACCTACCATGGTTATGGGGAGGATCCCATGAGACGTAGCTTATGCAAAGCCAATGAAATGTTAACAAGCATTTAATAAATGTTGGCTCCCTCCTCCTCGAGAGGATAAAGGCTGTGCGTCTGCTCACATTCTGCATTTTGTGAAAGGAAATGCCCCAGGGCCTACCTGTCAACTTCAGCTCCACCTGAGAGGCTTCGAGGAAGGTGGCGTTCACCTTACTGCTTGTTGCATTGAACCAGTCAACTGTCAGAGTTGCAGGTTGTCTTTTCCCTAAATATTCATAATATCCCTTCCACACGGAATTGATAAAAAATACATCGGAGGGAACTGTGGGGGGGGAAAAACCCAGATGAATGTTAGCAACACACAGAAAAGTTAAATTTAGATCTTTTACAACACAGAGGCAATACTAAGTGTCGAGTGAGAGATCACGTCATGACGGTGGTGTGGACAGAGATGACCTATCTCAGGCCCATCACAGTGTGATGGAAATGAAATGAGGAGGGAGGTTGTTGTGAGATGCATGTACATATCCATGGGTTAATGTGTTGGAGAAATACTTTAGGTGCCGAAGCATCCCTGCTGGAATGGATCTGCCAAGGCCAGAGGGTGGTGAGTTGCTACTACTGCCAGGAGGGCAGGCCATCGTGCCTTAATGAGAAGGCACTGCCTGGCCCAGGAAACCACTACTCATATTTCGTTAACGTCCAGGCGGACTCTTTGGAAGACGTAGAAGTCTCAGGGAGACCTGACATATGCCATCTGCCAGGACTTCCCTGCCCTCAGAAGGCTTGTCCTTGAAAGCACCAGTGGAGGACATCCACGCAGCTCATAAAGACAGAGCTGCTCTGGGTCCAGAGTTCTTCTCCTCTCAAGGAGAGCCCAACTCGCTCACCCACACTCCTCTACTCTTGTGAAAAACACTCCCGGATTGCTAAGAGGGTCAGCGCCACTGGAGTCAAATGTCATGTACATATAGAAAGACAAATATCCTCCTAAGTATGACTTTTAGCAGATCCACGTGCAGCAACCAGTGATGAGCCCACACATGGACTGGACCTGTGCTCATGATCCCCTTTCAGGGCCGTCTGCCTGCCTTCCCAGAATGGCTGCGCTCACAAAACCTACCCTAGCTACGGAGGAGTTCCAGAAGAGGAAACTGTCATCCCTTCCTCGGCTCTCGGTAGACTCTACTTATAATAATAATAACTTGGAAAAGTTAAATAGTTTAGAAACTACAATATCAGCATGGACATCTAGTATTTGCTTATCGATAAGGGACGTTGGACACTTTTGCCTGTGCATGCATGGCAGGACAGGGGCCTGGGTTCTACTGGTAAATATGAAAAGACTATCTTTTCCTTTATCAAAATTAATAGCCTTTAGGATGGCATCAAGATTGTTTCCCATAATTAGAATGTGCCCACTCAGGGGAAGTTATTAATGTACTCGGTCAAGCTCATCTCTGAAGGAAGACTCTTGGCCGGTGTGTCAGACGAATGGGTCATGCCTGACTGGGAACAGCACGGTGTCACCAGTGTCTGAGATGTGGCTTGTTTGTATCCGAATATGGCCGTTGGCAACGTGGTCAAGATGGTCCCCACATCTCATCTGACGTGCTGCTGCTAGTTTGCAGTGTGACACTACAACCATAGGTCGAGGGTGTTACGGTGTGCTACCTCGACAAAGAACCAGATTCAATTAGCAAGTCCCTTCCGAGGAAATGAGAAGAGGTGTACTGATGAGAATGGATGCACCTTCAAAATAAAGTATGCAAGTATTTCAGTATCTTAAACAAAAAATAAGCAAACAAAAACAGAACAAACACACCACCACAACAACAGATTGTGTTTCCTTCCACTGAAGACAATGTTGCCTGGATAACGAGGACTGCTTTCTGCGTTCGATTTGAATTTAACATTTAAATAGAATCATTCACAGTGATTTTCAGAAATAGCCTTTCTACTGCAGGATGTACATTGGGAGGATTCTTTGCATCACGCTGGGACGTTTGCCCTCGCCTGACCCTGAAGGGTGTAGCACAGCGCTGTGACTCAACGGCATGACATAAACGGTCTCTGCAGCTGATGTCAGAGTAGACCTTCCTGCCTAAGAAATCAGTGATGAAACCTGAAGCAGGAAAACGCTAGGGCAATGACCTTATATATAAAGGTTTTCTATTTCTATTTTTTTTTAAAAGGTTGACTTAAGTTATAATTTGGGGATATACTGTATTATGAGAATAGTCTCTGAATTTATAACACAGATACAATATGCCGGGTGATCTGGAGTAGTGAGCATCTATCTTCCTTAAAAAACGGGACTGCATCTTTCCGATGTGCTGTGTCATGCGTTTAGCAAGGCACCACTACAACAAAGAGCAATAATGAACATTTTAGGAGGCAGAGGATGCCTGAATTATGGAGATACTTGGAAAAAACAATGAAGCTCCGCATCTGAACTGCTCAAGGGGACAGGGGATGCTGTCTCAATGCTTCGTGTGCATCAGCTTCCTGTTTAGAGGAAAGAATCGCAACCCTCTTTATAAGGCTCTCCATTATATCACATTCTAGTATCAATATTTTATGTCCATTTCTGCCCACAAAATGCTTGAGGCCCCTTTTCACGAAACAGTGTGTGATAATGCCAAGGGTTTTCCTCTTAAGTAAAGTCTTGGTATTGCATTAACAAACCACCGTTATGGAAGAAAGAGAAATCTGTGTAGGCTCGGTGTATTTTAAATAATTGAAACATTAAGTCATTTATGGACTAATGGAATTCGAAATTTGTGTGTTAAAATTTGTTTCACTGTACAGAGTAGAGAACAAATCACTTATTGGATTTAAGTCTAGAACTGTTCTGGTATACAAACCTGGAGTTTTAGTAACTGTTTCATTAACTTCTCTCACTCCTTTACCTACAAGTAAAAAGACAAATTATCATTTTCAAAAACATTTATTTTTGAATAAGTTTGAAAAAATGTCAAATTGAAGCAATTTTCCTTTCTCCAGATTTCTTGAAGCTATAAAATCTGAGTGTCTTATACATATCCATTTTAAACCCCTATATTCGCAGCAGGATATCCTTTGTGTTTGTTGAAAAACGGAGATTAATGATGCGAACCAAAGCAGCTCTAATGTGTGCATGTCCGTGTGGTGTGCTACAACAGAGAGCCTTGCAAACGAGGGTGGTTTATATCCATGTTTTGACTCCTACTTGGGATATGCTGGCCGCCATGGAAAGGTAGCGTACCGAATAACTAACATTTCATAACCTCCCTTAATTTTCCAAGTCCTCGCCCAAATCAATGAAAGTACGAGTTGATATTGAGTAACACCAGACTGTTTCCCTTGCAGAGTGTTTAATTTGATCTATCAAGTTGGATTTAACTCAAAATCTCGTAGCGTTTATAATGTGTTGAACTGCAAATTACCTTTTTAAAGTTTGTTTTCTTCTATTTCTGACAGAGAAGGGCAAGGCAAACACAAGTGTCTTATGGATTCCTAATTTGAGAACTACACACAGGCTCCAAGGAACTAAAACTAAAGTCGCAGATTTTATCATACTCCATAATTTTTGCTTATGCTGTTTAGTGTTTGATGCCTGTATAAGCTACGTTTGGTGGGGCGTGTGAGAGGTCAGTTGTCATCAAATCTGACCCTAATTTATTATTCTCATTTGTAAATACACGGATTTGTGAGTAATGCATTTTCATGCTAATTGCTTTTGTAGTTAAAAAAAAAAAAGACATTGAACCAATGTAAAGACTACATAGTGTATATTCCTCCACCAAACAGTTTGTGGTCTTAAAAATAGCAGGTAGTTCACTTCGTATATTCGCCAATGCTTGATGATACTGGCCCATTTTAATTAAAAAAGTGCATTTTCCAAAACTGATGGTGCATATTGTTGTCCTTTTCACTCTCAGTGCTCTCCTATAAGCAAATGGCTTAAAGTGTGAACAGCAAATGATAAGATCTACCTATCTACTAGGCTGTGCCTCCATTGTACCAAACACTTACTACGCACACGTTCACACACACAGCTCACCACATTAACACAGATTCAGCTGGGTGACCGACATCGCTTCCATGATGCTGCTTCCTTATGGACCTTACACCTGGAAGCTAGCCTGATGGGCAGCAGGTGCTCCTCTTTGCTCGGCAGGGATGTGTGCACACTCCCTCATCGGTGACTTACTTTTACAGACAGGTGATTTTCCTGTCCATTTCATATCTGCTTTACACGTCCTGTGCTCAGACCCAGCCGCAAGGAAAAATCCGGGATGGCAGGTGTACACTAACGTGTAACCGAAGGTGGGGAGGTCTATCGCTCTCACATCTGCGTGGGCCGGCGTTTCTGGCTGCCTGCAGGCGTGGGCTGAAATGGCATGTATTCCATTAGAAAACGCTGACTTTTTGTTTATGGGAGTTAGCACATGCCTCTAAAGCAATAAGGAAATATGGAAACATTTGGAAATGGTTGTAAAGTTGGTGTACTACTCAAAATTCTGAATACGGTAGCTTTAAATTTCCCCAATATTCTCTGCAACTTTTAACATAACAAACACTTGGTATTTACCAGTTCTTCTTACCTATCCCTCCCTCTATCATCTATCTATCTATCTATCTATCTATCTATCTATCTATCTATCTATCATCTATCTAAGCTCCTTCTCTACATTTAAGTGTGTGTAATTAATTATGTGTAGAAATTCAGAATATAAATCATAGTATTGAAATAAGTAGATCACTCTGATAGACTATTAGGGTAAATGATATGTTAAATTGCCTTAAAAGACCAGTCCTATAAGCTAAACACATACACACTGGCACATAAAAGAAACATGCCTTGATTTTTGTCTGATGGCAGCTAACCTGTTATTCAGTTAAATGAATAGTTAATCATGGTAAAAACTTAACGTGTGTTTAGAAACCTAACTTAAATATTACAGATTCTTATTTCCCTTATAATCTAACTTAGGAGTCAATAAGGTCGCAATGTGTAAATCTCTAGTAACTTCTTACTCGTTATAAGGCTCACGTGTATGTCTCAAGTAAAGTACTTGTCAGATGATTATAAAACAAGGGGACAACACTAAAATTACAAATGCAATTGTTTTAAGTATCATAATATTTTTGTACTTTTGTAAAGTTTCAACATGCACATGCTTGATATTGGCAAGCTCCAAGCTGTGCAGACACACGCGTGTGTTTATATTTATTTACACACACAGACACATATACGCACATCTGCGTGTGCATAAAATATCCACATATGTAATTTGACTGGAGTATTAGCAGGGATGACTTTGAAATAAATATACATCTAATACAGATAAATACACAAAAAATCACATCATATATACTATTAAAATAATTTTTCATGACATTCTATTTTTTTAGTTTCGTCACCATAAGACTAAGAATCTGTATCTCACTAAACTGATAGAGAATGAAATACTGGCTTATGAATGATTCCTGCAACATTTCTTCCTTTTTTATGATTAAATCACAAAATAAAATTTGATCCCAAGTAACGATTTGGATGATCAAGTCATATAGACTTCAATAATAACATTTAAGATGTTTCTATAAATACTGTGACCTATTCCGTGATCCCTTTTACCCTTTAATGGCCTGATGTAGACAGTCTAGAGGAACAACAGCACGTGCATAAGAAAGCTTTCTCTCCACGCTACTGAGGCCATCCACTTGTCTTTGGTTCGGGCGGGTTCCCAGACCTGAGTGTGTCCCATGGTCCCCCGGAAGGCCTGATCAATTACATCCCACAGCCTCTCTTCTTCGCTCCCACCCATGCCCCGGCCCCCAGCTTTCTGATTCTGACTGTTTGGGGGTGCGGCTAGAGAAACCAAATCACTACCAGACTCCCAGGTGGTGCCAGTGCTGCCGGTTCTAGGGAATCAGACTCTGAGAGACCCTGGTTTAGGGAATCAAAGATGGCCAAACAAACAAAAAAATAAGGCGGTTCCCCATGATTTCCTTTGAGGGTAAACCCTTCCCAGAAGGTGCGAGAGGAAGTGGTGGGAGAAATCGCACTTACGTATACACTCGGTCTGTATCCCGCTCCAAGTTAAATTCGCGAGGCAAGTTCGGGTCGTAGAACCTTGAATGTGGTAACCTTTCCTGCACCTGAAAAACACCGTGCTTCCCACCTACAGAGGAAACCCAACATTAGCTGCAGAGGCCGAGCGGACGTTGGCCACGTCGGGCCATCCTGCGGGGAGCACACTCCGGGGCAGGACACACCAGTGATGCTCCTCAGCGTCAGGCCGTTGCTCGACCCCCCTGGGATGCTGGACGCGTGGATGCGTATTAGGTCTGGGGCGCTCGGTGCGAGAGGGGGCACTTGGGGGACACGGTGCACCCCGCTCATTTCAGGGGCTTACGTGCGTGATGAAACTATGCTTTTTCTCTCTCCAGTTTCTATTGGGGATTGGCTTCCCTTTTCCATTTTTCCTGCTACTCCCCATTCTAAGTAGTCGGTATTTAGCCATTTACTTTTCTGTTTTTGGTTTTTATTTTTTTGTGTCAGACAGGGCACGTGCCGAGGTGGTAACTAGGTTGAGGGAGGCACATGCCACACAGCGGCGTGAGCACATGGTCATCATGCTTATGAATTATGGAAGGACCAGCGATTCACTCCTGTTAACACTCTGGGAACTGGGCAACTCCTGCCCTGCCGTACAATGTCTGCAAACCCAATCTGTACTCCGGAGCTTCAGATGGGAAACTATTTATCGCCACCTGCATGCCTACGATATCTTCCGTCTAGACCTCCACAAGCGAACATCCTCCACCCCTTACTTCTCGCTACTTTGCTAAATTTCACTTCCTCCTTCCTGACCTTCCAAGGAGGCGTCCTATGCTGCTTACTACAATGTTCTGGGAGTGCCCATATTCTCATCTGCTTTTCTCATTTAACCGGACGTGCCTTGAAGGAGGTTTGCAGTGGTCCATAAACATGTTTTTAGAGGATGAGCTATGGTCCCGTGTTGAAGGGAACCAAACATCTCCGCCAATCACTTACATCATGGACATGGGACTGGCTTGGGGGAACAGGAAAGGGAAGAGAAATGAGCTCACGGAGAGCTGGGCTATGCCAGAAGGCAGCTTTGCACGCCCCGTGCTGGTGAGCGGGACCAAGTCTGTCCTAAGGCCTGAATGATGGACCACGCGAGTGCCCAGGTGAGGGGGCCACCCCGTCCTTGCTCTGAGGCGTCAGACCCATTCCCTCAGTCCTCCACCCTTGTTTTCTCATCTGGGCCTGTCCTTATCTCCCTCACTGGGGTTGGGGAAGGATCAACTATGAGTAACAGTCGCCATGCTGAGTGGTGATGAAGAATATCAGAGAAATACAGCTCTTCTTTATCATGGGCACCTAAACGTAAAAATCTGAATTTATACAGAAAAAAAAATTCAAATTCACCCAAACTGGAAAGGAATGATAAATCTGAGATTCAAGGGTGGGCGAAGGTTAATCCATCACCCGTGGGACGGCCTCCACCGCATTTCCTTGTCAGCTCAGGTCCTGGTCACAGAGCTCCTGGCCACTGTGCTACAGTCTTCGGCAGCAGGAAGGTGCCATGTAGCGCAGGGGCCTTCTCAACAGTACATCCGCCAGCAGAAGACACCTGTCTACTCCAGCGGGTCACCGTGAATTCACCTGGCCTTTATGAATTGGTGGGACCTAGCCAGCTGGACGGCAGTAATTTTTGCATAATTAACACAGCACGACATGGGATGTCCTAGGACTAAAGTGGCCCACTGTGCATGAGCGTGTCTCAGAACACAACACAAAAACCTGTTATATTAAAAACTTAACGGGTCCTGATGAAAAAGAACGAAAAATAAAACATTTTGGGGAGATTCCTCGGACGGTGTGAGCCACCTGTCGAGAAGATGGCCCCCGTGTCTTTAGATCGTTAGCACATCTTGCTTTCGGATATGATACATCGCTCTCGTTAGTGCAACTGTGCCTTGTCCTAAGAGGTGTGAGCAGTTTATCCGTCCCTATGGGCATCCTGAGACAGATCCCGGGGACATGTTGCTGAAAGCAGTCCCCATAAATGCTGACTTCCCATGGGCTTTTGGAGGGCAGATTTAGGAGTGATAAAGCCAGGGGTGAATGAGCAAGAGCGTCACTCGCATAGGGTACTTTCCACTACCCCAGTATGTGCGGCATTATAGTCCTATAGGCCAGAAGGCATTTATGTGGGGATTAGGCCGTATTTAAGACCTAATATAAAATACAGCAGATTTAACCCACGAGGTACCTGTGGAACTTTCCTCTGTGGGCTATAAGGTGCCATCAGGAAGTAGCCAGTGTGTGTCAGAGCCAAGCAAACGGGAATATTTTAGGTGTCAGGCGAGATTGGTGGAAGTGGCTGAAGAAAAGGTCTTTTATTCTAAATTAATGGGATCCCTGCCTTGAAAGCACCATACATATTTAACCTGAGCTCTCAACGCCACATCATCACACAGCTCTGAAGTCACTAGATTACCTTAGATGGTGGAAACATTTGATTTCAAGCTTCATTACCTTCCGTTTTGGGGTATTCCTCTAATATTACCTAAAGCGTTAATGCACTTTTTATTTAAAAAGTCAAATGAATGTCAAAAACGATACTGAGTGTGCTAATAGGTCACATAGAGAAATCACACGGAAGAGAAATGTCACAAAGTCAGCTTATGCTAAGGGGCCCGAATGCATTGTCTTCTGTTTTTGTCTCTTACATTTAATATCATTTGCCCGTTATATCGGGTCACTAAGCAGGGTCTTTTTCTGTGTAGCTATTCAGTGACCAGTCACTCTGATTTGAGAATTGCCGTGTCGGAGCAGCAGACAAAAAGCATCAAATTGTGCATGGTCTCAAGTAGAAATTAATATGGCAATTGCTACTGCGTGAGTGAAGATACATCCAGGTATCCCAGTTTTGACAGTTAAAATATCATGCAGAAATCCTCTCTGGATGAATTTATTTCGGGAATAGGCCATGAATCAGACAGGGTGCGTAAATAAAAACATGCACGTATGTTCAAGTGTCAATTCTACTTTATACTTACAGAGAAACATGGTAAAATAAAAATGGGGATACCTCATATCCTCTGGAGCTATTTTGTATTCCAAAGTGTGGAGTACCGGGGTCTGGGCAGGTATTATGAGCAGGATCTGGAGTTCACATTAAAGAAAGAAAAAGAAAGGAAAAAACACGAGTGCCAGACACAGTTATTATAAGGATTCTAACAATTTTACCAAAAGATCCTACAAATTGAGAAAATTATGTTTTGACAAATGTGTAAGATGTTTTGCATGAACATTAAAAATTAAAGTAAATTGCTATTTTCATCTTCTTTTCATACTTCTTCTTTAGATATTACTCCTCAGTGCCTCACCAGATTCTAAAGTGCTCTGTATATAATTTTCTGTTTTAGAATGAACATTCTTTCCCATTTTTTGGTCAAATATACTATATTGGCTGGTTACTATTACTGATACACTATCTTCAATAATTTTTATGACCCCTTGGTTCTTAAGGATTCTACTAGTGGCCATGTCTTTTCGTCATCCATCACGCTATTGCACATTTCTTGAAATAGTTTTCTTTCAGACTTCCAAATGAGAAAAAAACATTGATGCTTCAAAGTTGAGGCCTCCAATAAACCAAAAGTGCCATCTTCCCCCTCAAAGAACACAGGACTGGAGCAATGAGGAGCATGCGGCCTTATTATTTGCTGCTCTCTAGCTGCTAGTATGAAACCAAAATCGCTAAATTAGAAACAAAATCTGTTTTCAAGAGACACTAACCTATGGGACAGAGGAACACTGTTTCTTACAGAGACAGTAAATGTGTAATGACATTTTAGATGAAACAGCAGTAAATGTGACTGCTATTAAAAAACAGTGTTTCAATGAAATTATTTCTGAAGCTGTTTGTTCTTAGGTAAGAATCATTCCATTTCTTAGGAAACAACCGAGACTATACAGATCATTGATTATTTGCTGCAAACATGCAGAACATCAACTTTTTGGCTCAGTACCGCTGGGTGAAAAAAAAAAAAAAGAGCCCATCCATAAACCCGAGTCTGCAGCAGTGAGGTACAAAGAAAATTGCCCTTAATGCAAAGGGGCAGTTCTGGGATGCAGCCCACTAATAATTTGAGTTTTGACAAATACAGCTCATATCTGAATCCTTCTCATGAGACAGAAACTCAGCCTAAAAATGTGGGGTTTCAATCACTTGGAAAGCGTCTCCTGACTCGCAAGGCCCACTCATGCTCCCGGGTCAGCAGCCCGTACGACCTGGCTCCGCTGGCCTGTGCAGGGGGCTCAGCGGCCGGGCCGGGGCTGAGAGGTAGGCCCCCGGGGGCTGCCCAGCAAGCAGCGGCCAGGCTGGGTTTCTGGTGACGGCCAGTGTGCGGTGGTGCAGGGATGGCATCTTCGACAACGCCATCCTCCCCCCCAAACTGCACCTGCCAGCTGAGGCGGGGGCACGGACACGGGAGAACAAAGTCTAGCAGGTGTTTTAACAGCCTCCTAACCTCAACTCCTAATTTGCTCTGATTTAATCAGAGTAGCTGATGAGTGCTTATGCAAGGGATGACCCAGTGGAACGGTGTGTGACCCCACGACTGACCCGGTTGTAGAGGGAGCATCCTCACCCCCAAGCACCGTCAGTGCTGTCTTGCAGTTCTTACCGATGCAGGTGGGTTGTGTGCCACTCCACGTGCCGTCCGCCTGGCAGGATCTCCTGGACGACCCCACCAGCATTAAGGGAGATTTGCACTGGAAGAATACTTCTGACTTATAGGTGAAGCTTTTGCCACTAAGTCGCCCCTCCGCAGGGGTGCCTGGGTCTCCGCAGAACACAGCTGATGAGGATAACAAGCAGTCAGCTAACGATACATGCCTCTGTGTCAGGTGAACTCCCCCAGCTTGTGTAAGGCGTATCTGCAAACCCTCTGGGCATCACTACTCAGCCAGGCAGGGACCAGGGGCAGAGTGTGCATGCACAGGGCACCCCCAACGCGAGCATCGCATTCTGCAGCATGGCTCACCAATGACTGGGAGCGGGGCAGGCCCTGTAGGTCCAGGGCAGCATGACCCCAGGAGCAAGCACTGTTGGAGGACTTACGCAGGCACTGGGGGACCTCTCCTTTCCACACGCCATGGCCTTCACAGGAAAGGATGGCGGAGTGAGAGGGCTGGAAGCCATCCACGCAGCTGTAACTGATGCTGGCGCCCCAATGGAAATCGGCTCCCTCCACTTTTCCATGCAGCACTTGAGGAGGTTGACCGCACATGACAGCTGTTTCCAAAGAACAAATGAGACTGAACATCCGGGGCCTTCGTGTAACTGAAAGGATCCACAACTGTAACACTCAGAGTATCCACATTTTAATTTCACCTGGATTACAAATGGCATCTCCATAGAGTTGTTTTCTTTTAATAAAAGGATTATTGAGGAAGACAGCGGATCAAAATAATAAAAATTTTCTCCAATATTTCTTCATTAGTTTAAATCAAGTACATAAAAGCAAAGTGAAGTCACAACACATCCCACTGCAAGAGAAAGCAGGATTGAACATGACATTGGCAATATGTACAAGGCCACAGATGAAGAAATACTTGTATTCAGTGTATGTCTTTTTGTGGCAGTTCCCAAGGGCAAATCAAATCACAGCTTGCTCATATGACATGAGTACAAACTTCCGGATTTGTGTATACAGATGGCAACCTATCTGCATTTTTATATTTAAAGATAGCATGTAATATCTCAAAGGCATAGACTGTAGATCCATTGGCTGAATAATTAAAAAGCAGGCACTCGCATGGCTGAAAAGGTTCTGGGAAAAACTCCCTTGTCAGTGTTTTATAACATCCCCGAGGCTGACGTTTACTCTGTTCTTTTTTTTTTTTGATATTTTTTTTTATTGGAGTTTGATTTGCAATCAAGATAAAAAGCTTCTGCACAGCAATAGAAACAGTCAACCAAACTAAAAGACAGCCTATGGAATGGGAGAAGATATTTGCAAGTGATGTTTACTTTGTATGGGGCTGCAGAGCAAGAAGACAGTTCTCATGGGTGCTCAGCCTCGGTGCTGGCCCCACATGGCTCCCCTCAGGCCTGGCCATTACACTAGCATGCAGGAGTATTTTCTTCTGTGTGCTCACACTCATGCATTTTCGTGTGAAGGAGACACAGGCACACACATCATCACACATGCACACTCAACAGATGGAAATAGGCTTTCCCACTGCCCTTCACCTTATGCATTTTTTCACCCAATACTTCTTAGAATGCACATGTGAAGGGTAAGAGAACACGTGCTCTAGACAGAGTAGCAAGTGGAAAGTCCCCAGGCGGGAATAACAAGGGGATGAGGAGGGGATTAGCAGGAGTCTAGTCTGAGACAAGCTCAGAGGGAGAGAGTGGTCTCTTCTGGAAGGGTCTGGTTGGGCATGGAGTTAATTACCACTGCACTGACTATTACAAAGAGAAAAAAATTGATACATTATGTGCAAAACCCCAAAAACCTCCACCCCAAGATTGCAAGAACTCATACAGCAATTCAGTAACATGGCAGGATAGAAACTCAATGCACAAAAGTCAGTGGCATTTCTATACAGTAACAATGAGATAGAAGAAAAATTAAGGGATCAGTCTCATTTACGACTGCACCAAAAACCATAAGATACTTACAAATAAACCTAACCAAAGTGGTAAAGGATTTGTACTCTATAAACTACAGGAAAGAAATTGAGGAAGAGGTAAAGAGATGAAGAAACATTCCATGTTCATGGATTGGAAGAATAAATATCATTAAAATGTCTAAGTCACCCAAAGCAATCTATACATTCAGTAAAACCTATATCAAAACACCTTCAACATTTTTCACAGAGCTAGAACAAATAATCCTAAAATTTGTATGGAACCAGAAAAGACCTCAAATAACCAGAGAAATGTTGAAAAAGATTCAGATGCAATGAAACGCCGGGACACCTGCACCCCGATGTTTCTAGCAGCAATGTCCACAATAGCCACACTGTGGAAGGAGCCTCGGTGTCCATCGAAAGATGAATGGATAAAGATGTGGTCTATGTATACAATGGAATATTCCTCAGCCATTAGAAACGACAAATACCCACCATTTGCTTCAACGTGGATGGACCTGGAGGGTATGATGCTGAGTGAAGTAAGTCAATCGGAGAAAGACAGTGTATGTTCTCATTCATTTGGGGAATATGAATAATAGTGAAAGGGAATATAAGGGAAGGGAGAAGAAATGTGTGGGAAATATCAGAAAGGGACACGGAACATAAAGACTCCTAACTCTGGGAAACGAACTAGGGGTGGTGGAGGGGGAGGAGGGTGGGGGGTGGGGGTGAATGGGTGATGGGCACTGAGGGGGACACTTGATGGGATGAGCACTGGGTGTTATTCTGTATGTTGGTAAATTAAACACCAATAAAAATTAATTTATTAAAAAATAATAATAATAAAAGCAAAATAAAGACATTTAAAAAAATAAATAATGAAATCTTAAAAAAAAAAAGAAAGAAAACCAAAGCTGGTGGCATCACAATGCCAGACTTTGAGATGCATTAAAAAGCTGAGATCAGGGATCCCTGGGTGGCGCAGCGGTTTAGCGCCTGCCTTTGGCCCAGGGCATGATCCTGGAGACCCAGGATCGAATCCCACATCGGGCTCCCGGTGCATGGAGCCAGCTTCTCCCTCTGCCTATGTCTCTGCCTCTCTCCCTCTCTCTCTGTGACTATCATAAATAAATAAAAATTTAAAAAAAAAAAAAAAAAAGCTGAGATCATCAAGTCAGTATAGTCCTGGCACAATGACAGACACATAGATCCATGGAACAGGACAGAGAACCCAGAAATGGGCCCTCAACTCTATGGTCAATTAATTTTCCACAAAACAGGAAAGAAAAGAATATCCACTGGAAAAATGACAGTCTTGGGACACCTGGGTGGCTCAGTGGTTGAGCGTCTGCCTTTGGCTCAGGTCGTGACCCTGGGGTCCTGGAATGGAGTTTTGCATTGGGCTCCCTGCATGGAGCCTGCTTCTCTCTCTGCCTGTGTCTCTGCCTCTCTCTCTGTGTCTCTCATAAATAAATAAATAAAATCTTAAAAAAAGACAGTCTCTTCAATAAATCGTGCTGGAAAAATTGGACAGCCACACATAGAGGAATGAGACTGGACTATTCTTTTATATCATACACTAAAATAAACTCATAATGGATGAAAGACCTAAATGTGAGACAGGAATCCACCAAAATCCTAGAGCAGGACACAGGCATCAAACTCTTTGACCTCGGCCACAGCAACTGCTTGCTAGACATGTCTCCAAAGGCAAAGGAAACAAAAGGAAAAATGAACTATCAGGACTTCTTCAAGATAAGGAGCTTCTGCACAATCAAGGAAACAGTCAAAAAAACTAAAAGACAACCTACAGTATGGGAGAAGATATTTGCAAATGACCTATCAGATAAAGGGCTAGTACCCAAGATCCATAAAGAACTTCTCAAACTCAACATACACACAAAACAAATAATCCAGTCCAAGAAATGGACAGAAGACATGAACAGACACTTCTCCAAATAAGTCATACAAAATAGCCAACAGACACATGAAAAAATGCTCCACATCACTTGCCACCAGGGAAATACAAATCAAATACAAAAACCATGAGATACCAGCTCACACCAGTGAGGATGGTGAAAATTAACAAGACAGGAAATGACAAATATTGTTGAGGATGCAGAGAAAGGGGAACCCTCTTGCACTGTTGGTGGGAATGCAATGTGCTATGGCCACTATCTAGGAAATGGTACGGAGGTTCCTCAAGAAGTTAAGAATAGAGCTACCGTATGACCCAGCAATTGCTTTACTAGGTATTTACACTAAAGATACAATGTATTGATCTGAAGGGACACCTGCACCCTGATGTCCACAGCAGCAATGTCCACAGTAGCCAAACTGTGGAAGGAGCCACGATGCCCATCAACAGGTAATGGAAAAAGAAGATGTGGTCTATGTACACAATGGGATATGGCCCAGCCATCAGGATGAATACTTAGCATTTACATCGACGTGGACGGAGCTGGAGCGTATGCTGCTGAGTAAAATAAGTCAATCAGAGAAAGACCATTATCATCTGGCCTCACACATGCATAGAATTAAGGGACAGCACAGAGGATCATGGGGGAAGGGAGGGAAAAGTGAACAGGAGGTCATCAGAGGGAGACCGGCCATGAGAGAGACTCTGAACTCTAGGAAACAAACTGAGGTCGCTGGAGGGGGGGGAACGGGGTAACTGGGTGATGGGCATTAAGGAGGGTGTGGGATGGGAGGGGCGCTGGGTGTTACACGCACTGACGGATTACTGAACTCTCCATCAGAAACTAGGTGTGTACTAAGTGTTGGCTAATTCAGTTTAAATGATTAAAAAATAAAGAGTTTATAGTAAAAACAAAACAAAACAAAACAAAAAAACCAAAGTGGACAAAAACACGTGACATCCAAGAGACCAGACCATCTTATTGGCCGCTGTCATCAATGTGCTCAGATGTCTAGGCCCCTCCTCACACTACTTGGTGACTTTCAGGCCACATCGTCTAGTACTGGCTTCACAACAGGTGCAGCAGCAAGGATGGCAGGTGCAGGAACAGGAGATTGTGGCCTTTATGACCTGGTGGGAGCTGTAACGAGGCCCGTGTCCGACAGGAGAGCCAGCGCTGTTGGGGAGCACCAAACTCTCCTTGAGGCCTCACAGCAAGGTCTGTGCACCCGGGACCCCAGCCCCATCTGTCTCTCGGAGCCCGCTGACAATGCCGGCTTCGTCATATCACTTCCCAGCGTTCAGTGAGCAACTCCCCCAGCCCTGACTGTGCCCAACAACAGCCAAGCGCCACCTCTTTATGCTCGGGGCCAGCCACACTCTTGACCCAGCTGCCTCCTCAGCCCTCCTGCCCTGCTCGGGCCGGCTGATGAGCAGGCCTGCACGTGCTCCCTGTGGCACTGGCAGAGGCGTCCTCACCACGTAGGCCCTTGCCGTGAACAACTCCCACCGGTCCCACTCCTTTCTCACCAGCAGGGCCCACCCTGCTGCAACTTGGCTCAGGCCCCTAGACCGGCGTCAGCCTGCCCTGTGCAACCCGGAAAGTCCAACCACATGAGTCATCAATGTCTCATCCCATCTCCTTCGTGGTATGGTGGCTTCAGTCTCAGAGGCTGTCCCCCAACCCTGAACATTGTGGCTCCAATGTCCCCTGCCATTCCCTGACGGTCAGCTCGTCTCTCCACACTGACGTGAAGGTCCTCTGGTGACACCACCCCCTCCCACCTGCCGCCAGCTGGGCTAACACACGTCCCAGCAGAGAGGAGGCACTGGCCTTGACAGACTTAGATGTAGCACACCAGGCCTCTGAATCCTGAGGTCTTCCACTCCTGATTTCTATCCTGGGCCACTTACTTTCTCTACGAGCTGGTTTTCCCATTGATAAGACTGACGTTAATGTCTTAAGAAAATGAAATGATTGTAATTTGCAAATGGGTTTACCGGAATTCTCAGCACACGGAAGGATGACCTGAATGCTGGCCAGTGCAGTAAATGGCAATTCAGTAAGCACTTCTGCGCACGTGAATAAGGCCAAGAAGGTACGGACACGAACCTTTGCACAAGGGTTTGCTGTTGTTCCACGTACTGTCTTTGGTGCAACGGATGGTGGATGACGTGATGGGCTCCATCAGATAGCCGGGGTCACACTGATAGCTCACAGTCTTATTGAAGGTAAAATCCGTCCCGAACTGGATGCCGTTTGCCAGTGTACCTGGGTCTCCACAGCTTATAACTGACAAGTGTTAGAAAAATACAAAATTTCCATTAAATGAGTTAGTCATGGTTTCTGTTCAAGTGACGCCCCTTAAGCTGCCATCCGCAGCGTTAAGGAGTAATCGTGCATCGGCGGCATTGTCCTCTGGCGACGCGCCTGTCTGGCTGTCCGGAGACAGTGTGTTTGGAAGGTGATCAGGAAATTAAATACTTTTATTTCCCTGAAAAATAAATGATCTACAGAGAGGACAAACCTTGACTCTTTTTTTTTTTTTTTTGGACCCAGTTTTACAACGTCTAATCAAACTGGTCATTGAAAAGAGCCTCAACCATATATATTGGGAAGTGAAGAAAGAGCTAAAAGTCCTAATGAACAGAGACATCATATCAAACATACGTATGTCTTTTTTCTCTATGTATTAAAAAATCAATAAAATAAAGAGCAAGGGAATTTTTCTTATCCGAGCAGATATGGTGGTCGTGGCCTCGAGCACACATGACAGCCACTGCTGACCTGTACAGTCGGGGGCTGTGCCCGTCCAGGTCCCGTTGGCCGTGCAGTGACGCGTCATTAGCCCGGACGTCTTGTAGCCTTCCCAACAGGCGTAGATGACCGAGCTGGAGAACAGGATGCCATCGCTGCTGACAATCATGCCATTGGTGGGCGTGCCAGGATTCCCACAGGACACAGCTATGAGGGACAGCGACACACAGCAGAGTGAGCTGCTACCAGAATGATGCATTTTTAAGATTTTATTTATTAATGAGACCCAGAGAGAGAGGCAGAGACACAGGCAGAGGGAGAAGCAGGCTCCATGCAGGGAGCCCGATGTGGGACTTGATCCTGGGACCCTGGAGTCATGCCCTGAGCTGAAGGCAGATGCTCAACCACTGAGCACCCCCAGCATCCCTACCAGAATGATTAATGCATGAGCCCAAAGGTCAGCAGTGTAATAGATGATGTATTTATTTTTTTTTTACAAATAGGATCTATTACTATGGACGATGTCTAATACATATTTTACTTTATGATTTATACTGTAATTTTATCAATGACTTAACAAACAAACTATGTTTTCATATTATTCTTTCTAAAGTACTCTACTTCAAAACAAGTTAAAATATGAGTTAAAGCGGGACCCCTGGGTGGCTCTGTGGTTGAGCATCTGCCTTCGGCTTGGGACGCCATCTGGGGTCCTGGGATCGAGTCCCATGTCAGACTCCCTGCAGGGAGCCTGGCTCTCTCTCTGCCTGTGTCTCTGCCTCTCTCTGTGTCTCTCATGAATAAATAAATAAAATCTTTAAAAAAAGATGAGTTAAAACATTGAAAACTCAAAGCCTTGCTACTTGGAGATTCAACATGTTTATAATAAAAAAAAGACTTTTTTAAAGGATCTATATTAGCAACTCAGAAGAGCCTCCCTTCATGTAACAGCTGATTTTTTTTTTTAATTCTGGACAAATCAGGTCATACTTCACATCCCCAGGATAGTTCATTTTGGACCCCAAGGGATGCCTGAGGACTATGAACGACTATGCTCAAACTGCCTGGTACAATGGTCTCAGTGTCACTGCATCTAACGGCAGCATGTCACTTGGCATTGGCATAGCTGCTCTCTCTGGTTCTCTCTGGATGGACCCAATGCCCATAGAGGCAGTGAGATGCCAGCTCCTGACGGGCAAGGCTATAGGTCCACACTCTACGCAGCCCCTTGCACGTTCCTCAGGCAGCAAAACACGACGAGCAGCTGCTGTGTGTGTTTCCAGGGGATGATTTTAACACAGAATTAGGTTCTGTGTTTTTTTCCCTTGCCTTTTATACTTGAGTCTATTTGCCACAGAATGTTAGTATTTCTCTCACTAGCCCTCCCACACAATGTGCCGCGGGCAGACAGGGACCGAATATGGCCTTTGGCTGGGTTTTAACAACAGGGATGCATCCTGGGACCGTTGCTGAGAATGACCACTATATGTGCCATCCACTTTCAAATCTAGCCTTGGGAACAAAGACTCTTCTTAAAAATACTGAAGAAAACACACTGCAAAATGTACATAGCTTAGAAAGGCCATTATTACGGACACTTGGCGAACTGCCTATTGTATCGCATGTAAAAATGCCCTGGCCCTCAGGTTGGACGTGGCCCTGCCTGACACACACAAAGCATGTGTGCTGGTGCTTCTCCACCTGTGCCCAGGACAGATGTAACCACTCAGTCACGACCCCTTTTCCTGATGGAGCTCGTGTGAACTTACAACCCTTCCTTGCAACCTTCCTTGCACCAGAAATCTTTCAGCAGTTTTCTGGTTGCCATTTGGGATGAAATCTATTGACCAATAGTGAATCAGGTGATACTTAATATTATAAAAAACTCAAAAGCTCTGTGATGGCTATCTTATCAATTAAAATATCATACTGTGAAAAAACAAGAGGTGGGACTCTTCGAGACAATTACTCTTCCATTCAACAAACAGATTCATCATTTAGGACATGACAGTTATTGTGTAGATGTACTAATTGAAAGCCTAATGGAGAAGACAATTGTGTTGATCTAATTCATAGTCAAGTAAACCAACAAGACAACTCTGCTCTTTTTTTTAAGTTTTTTTTTTTAGGACTTTATTTATTCATGAGAGCCATGAAGAGAGAGAGGCATAGACATAGAGAGAGAAGCAGGTTCCATGCAAAGAACCTGATGTGGGACTTGATCTGGGGACCCCAGGATCATGCCTTGGGCTGAAGGCAGGCACTAAACTGCTGAGCCACCCAGGGATCCTGGCAGCCGTATTCTTAAATTTTATTCTAATCATAACTGCTATTAAAATCTGTGTAGCAATTTTCAAAAAGTCACCTGTGAAGGATAATGCTAAAGTGAGATGAGATATTGGTGAACATGTTCAAGTGAATTTATAGACAGATATGCTGTCAGTAAGTGAATGCCCGTCATGATCATGCCATCCTAGTGTTTAAAAGTCCCTCAAATACCGTATTCTACAAAATCAAATTCAGGGTTCACTTTATTTTTCTTTCTGATAGGGACGCTTTCACTCATGGTTACGCCCATGAAAATGAAGACTAGAAATTAGCCTCAGTATGTTTGTGTTCACATTAAAGCCACCATGATATAGGAGGAGATATAGGAGGACAGCCTATATCATGAGCTTACATTCATAGTCAGCAGAAGGAAAACAAAATTTTTTTTATAAGTTAAAAGTTAAAACTTTTCAAATACTTCTTTTCAAGTACATTTGGTTCATGTGACTCCTTTCAGTAAAAGATCATTTTCCTTTACTTGATTTATAAGAAAAGAGCATTATACTTATGCCACATACACTTTATTGTCTACAGATACCAACGCTGTTCATGTAACATGCTGCATTAGGATCACGGCTGTTAAACTGAGTCCAACGGTTTTGGGTTGGAATCTTTGCTCACACAGACCTAAGTAATGTGAATGATCACATCCAGTTCTTGACATGTAGTGTCTTCACTGTAAACTGGGTATAATAAGGGCAATTGCTCTTGGTTGTTGTAAGAGTAAACATACTGTGTGCAAAATGCCGAGAACGCATTCTGGCTTCTTAGCAGTAGTGAATGTATACATGGCAGCTCATGCATTGTCATTTTCGTTATAATCACTGTCATCACACATCTACCACATGCATAAAAGATAGGCTTTACCATAATCTCATGGAAAGAGGATTAAGAGTTGACTCAGACAACTAAAACCAATGATGTAGTTATAGTTCTGCAATTTCCTGAGATACACTCATTTGAAATTGCAGTCAATGGGTTTATGATTAAAAGACCAGATTGCTAACAAAGAGAGCATGATCTGAAATCATGGAAATAATTATATTAGAAAGATGAATTCCTTGATGTTTAAAAGTTGTTAAAATATTTTTACTTTGTATTTTATGAACTCTTCTTTCTTTTTACCACTTATTCGAATGTGTCATCAGGCTCTAATGCTTTTGATAGATTCAGGAAAGGAGATTCATGAGGAGGGAGATGCTCTCAGTTGACTGAATACACAGTCATGGCTGACATCAGTGGAAATGCAAAAGTCATGGTAACCCCCTTTTCTATAGAGAATAACATGTGCCCCAAAGATCCGGACCTATGATGACAAGTGAGAAAAAAATAGAAAGCTAGATTGTCCAAAAAAATTTGAAGATGTGTGTTACGGGATATAGGATTAGGCACATATTCCTTCCTTTCCTTTGTTGTTACAGTGAGTACATTGTACTACTACTGGGTGGCTCAGGCAGTGAAGCATCTGCCTACAGCTCCAGTCACTATCCGCGGATCCTGGGACCGAGCCCTGTATCAGGTTCCCTGCTCACTGGGGAGCCGTTTCCCCCTCGCCCTCAACCTGCTGCTCTCATGCTCGTTCTCTCTGTCTGTGTCTCTGTCTCTCTCTCTCTGTCAAATAAGTACATAAATAAAATATTTTAAAAAATTATACTATTACTGACTCAACTTCCCATGATTTCTGTATGATGTAGGCTTGGAAGTAGTCAGTTTTGTGGGGAATAATATATTTGAGAAATACTTGCCATATTGAACCATTTCAACTTCTATCTGTACACAGATTTTAATAATCAAGTTTCTAAGGATTTTATAAGAAACACTTGAATTTCTCACTTTAGATAAACCAAATGCTATTCTAAAAACCCTTGCATAGTCTGAGTTAGGTATATGATGAAGTGAAATCCAATTAACTTCTCCCAATCAAATAAATGAATTCATTAATGTTTTGCTGAAATAGAACTTGTGGTGTTATATCACAGCACCTAAGTGAGATTTCTATGGAAAAACATCACTCCCATTCTCAGATGTTTTAATTTTTTTCACCTTTTAAATGTGCAAAGTGCTTTTTATATCAATAAGCTGATAAGGAATGTACAGTCCCAAGTGAATGACCATTCTAAATAGAATATGAGTGCATCTAAGTGAGGTTTGTCCTACTTTTGGGAACTATAGTGTCCCAACAAATTTGGTTAACTTTTTTTGGGGGGGGTGAGAAGGGGTTGAGGGAGAGGTAGAGAGATAATCCTAAGCAGGTTCACAGCATAGAGCCCATTGCAGGGCTCAATCTCACACCCTGAGATCATGATCTGAGCTGAAATCAAGAGTCAGACACTTAATGGACTGAGCCACCCTGGCACCCCAATTTGGTTGACTTTTGACCAATAATTTTTCAACCATTTCTCTGCCCCATTCTTTCTCTGTTCTTTTTCTTCTGGAACTCCAATTACATGTATAGTAAACCACTTGATATTATCCCATAATTATTGGGCTGCTTTTCTTTTCTCTTCTTCCTTTCTGCTTTCATATTGGATAATTTTCATTGATCTGTCTTCTTGTTAACTGATGCTTCTGTCCTTTTTAATTTTCTAGGCTTATTTTAAAAAGTTTTTATATAAGATGGTATATTTTCCAATTCCAGAGTTTCTCTGATTGTGTTTTTATTCTTTAAAATTTATTTTATTTTATTTTTATTTATTCATGAGAGACACGGAGAGAGAGACACACACACACAGGCAGAGAGAGAAGCAGGCTCCCTGCAGGGAGCCCAACATGGGACTCGATCCCAGGATCCCGGGGTCACACCTTGAGCCGAAGGCACATGCTCAATCGCTGAGTCACCCAAGTGTCCCTGTTTTTACTATTTTCATTTCTCTGCTGATTTCCTGTTTATGACTCTAACTCACTTTAAGTCTGTGAGGATATTTTAAATAGTTGCTTCAAGTCCTTGTGCATTATTTTCAACATCTGGGTTACCTCAAGATCAGATTCTATTTCTGTTGTTTTGGTGTGTTTTGTTTGTTTGTTTGACTATGGGTCATATTGTTCTGAGTTATGCATATGTAGTAACTTTTTATTGTATGCTGGACATTGTGAACAAAATGTTGCATGGATTCTCTCATTCCTTCAAAAGGTGCTGGGGTTTGTTCTGGTGGACTTTTAAATTAGTTGTAGATCTTTTGGGTCCTCCCATTAGTTTTAATCTCTATTAGAGGAGACCTATTCAGACTTAGTCCTAACATGCTTTTGCTCTTCGTTCTATCATATTCCACTTATTTTAGGGAGTGGTACAAATTAATAATGCATGGAGTTTTCTGGGCATCTAGGAAACGTCCTGAGTATACAGTGAGAGCTCTGACTGGCCAGATGGCCAGTGTGTCTCAGTAGGGGTATGACTTCTAATATCACAAGTCTACTCTCGACTCTGCAGCAAAAGGTCATTGCATCCCTGGGTCTCACCCATGCTTGTCCGCCTGGCTCTCAGCCAGTGCATGCCCACCGAACTTATGGGGCTGTCCCATCCTCAGCTGGTCCTTCTCAGATTACTTATCCTGCAGGTTCTATTTCAGTGTCCTAGAATAATTTCTACTGCATCACCTCTCCAAGCCACCATACCACCTGGGTTCTACTTTCCAACTGCACAGTAAGAAAAATATACAGAACAATGGGGGGGTGATAGGCTCACTTCCCTCATTTTTTTTTCCTCCCATGGAACATAGGCATGCACTCTCTGTTGTTTAACAGAATAATTATCTCATATATCTTGTCTTTTTACAGTTGTCCTCAGTAAGATGCTAGACTACTGTCATTCAACATATCATGGAATGAAGTGGAATTCTCATTTAATTTTCATAATATTTAATATTTAAATAAATTCTGAACCAACAATTCCCAGATGTAGTACAGGGGGAAAAAGTTAGATGGGATGAAAATATAGGTTACAAAAGTCATGTGTAACTTTTAGGTATCATATCATAGAATAGAATACACTCTGGTTTTGGTGAGAAAAAAATGCTATCATGCAAATTTTAATATTCAAACTCTACAAAAGGAGAGAAAACTGAGAAAATTGTGTCTGAGTAAGAAAAAGTCTACTAATTAGAGTCACATACTTCAGTCAATAAAAAGGTATTGCTCTGCAATTCACGGTGGCAGGTGGCATCCTTCCAGTACTGCTCAGTCACGTCTGATTTAAGTCAACTTCTTTAGGGCCTAATCTAGAGATTTACACTAACTCAATTGTCAGGAGGTGACTCAGAGTCAAAAATTACCTTAGATTATTATATATATGCATATGTCTCTTATTTAGGTGCAGATATCTCCAAGATAATGTTTCATTCAGAAGAGAGTATACACACACACATATACACATGCACATACATAAGGTATGCACATATATTTTCATATATATGATTGTATTATTTATACATGATTTTATGAGATCACAGATGATATGTAGTTTGATTGCATAAAATATAGTTCAATTACAGACAATTTTCTATTGTTCTATATAATACATACAATAAAATGAGAGGTGGGCAGGTACAGGTTGAGATGGCACAGTAGAGTAGAGAAAGTGAAGATTAAGAAAACTTGATTTATATGTCTGGTCCTGATATTGTGTGAGCTTATTCAAGTTGATCAATTTATATAGAAAGTGTTTCAGAGATGATATTTGTTTTGTGCAACCGTTTTGGACTCGAACAATAAGTATTCAGAATTTATATGCTAAATATTTCTAACATTTAAGTCTTATCTGTCTGAATTCTAAATCAGTTACTTTGTGGACTCTAAACAAATTCATGATATCACATCATACCTTTGCTTAAGGCAAGCACTGCTGATATATGACACAGTAAACTATTCATGACTTTTTATTGTTATTACTGAGGTCCCACCATGCCCTCTTAGGCCTCTCAAATACTAAAATAAAATATATTCACTCTAAAGTATTATACAGAGAATCACCCTAGGTTCTTTAGTAATGCAGTGTTTTTGGCAAGGGCCACCAACAGACTGGAAATAACATGTGAAGTGAAGCCTACAGACGTTCCCATCAGTGACTGACATCGCTTCTGTGCACTGTTCCCTGTTCTCATTTATTCATTACCAGAAACCACAAAACACCACCAAATCACAGAGATTCTTATTAGAAGATCAAAAACTCTTACAGGTTATAAACATCAAAAGGTAAGGATCCTTGTTAGATAATCTTTTGAATAGTCAGGAAATCTCCATGTACCCAGTCATGAGTTGTAATGATTCTCTTATACATTCTGGGGGAAAGGAGATTAATGATACAAAGGTTCAGTCTATAGGATTTCTGTGGAATGGTACCAGTCATTTTATAATGAAATACATGGTTCCAAGTGTAAAGGTTGACTTTATGGCTTGAATGTACTCACCTTCACACACTGGCTGCAATCCCGACCACGAGCCATTGAGCAAACATGTACGCTCAGGAGAGCCCCTCAGCTGGTAACCCATTTCACAGGAGAAGCGCAGAAGGCTCTTGGTCTTGAGTTCATCTCCAAGCCGGGACCCATGCGCTGGGGTCCCGGGATCGCCACAAAATCCAGGATCGTTTCCTATGGAACACAGACACAGATGGCAAAACACAGTGTTGTTAGACTTCTTTATAACAGAGCTCTTATATTTAAAGAGAATGAAAAGTTATTTATTTATTTATTAGGATTTAGTTATTTATTTGAGAGAGAATGCATGAGCATGTGAGCGGGGGGGGGGATGCAGAGGGAGAGAATCCTCAAGCAGACTCCCCACTGAGTGTGGAGCCCCTAGTGGGGCTCAACCCCAAGAGCCACGAGATCACGACCTGAAGGGAAACCAAGAGTCAGCCTTTAGACCAACTAAGCCACCGAGGAATGACATGAAAAGTCATTTAAATATGTTCCAGTCATACCACATTCTGGAAATCTCAAGAGAAAGACTCTATCAGAGCACAAAGGTGAAAAACGTGAAGAAAGCGTTCCTCTACAACTAAACACAAACTAGCTTATCAAAATATGCCTGTGACAAAAGTTGGTGTTCTCTAGAAGAAATAAAACTATGGTAATAATGAAGACAGGGTTTGTCCATTGGATGTGTCAGTATGGATGATAAAAGGGAAACGGGGTCAAAGTGCACTGGGCAATAAACAGTCAAGGGAGAGGTCTGATTCTTCTCAACTGTGTCCAGAGTTGCTGACTCACTGAGGTTTGTTTATTTAAGAACTATCCATGAAAGAATGAAGATTTTTCATTTTTTTCGAAGGGTGTCAATGTAATTGCCAGTTGGAGACAGGAGTGAGGCAGAAGAATCGAGAGGAAGCGCAGACAAGGAATCAAGAAGGAATGGGGACAGACGGAGTGAGGGTAGGCAGGCCCCCTGGCCAGGGTGATGAGGAACTCCCATGTCTCCCACAGGGGGCATGTGAAGTAACTGGGCCTCGAGGGGATTGATGAAGTGGAGGACGACCACGTGGAACCCCGGCCTCCGTGGCAGGACATGGAGTCAGGCCGGGGAACAGCAGGCGGTGCCACTCCCCACGCCCCACGGGTCCAGCCAGTGCATGGTTCCTCACCTGTACAGTGGGGCAGCGTCCCACTCCAGTGACTATCCTCTTGACAGACTCTAGTGCTGTTGCCGACAAGGTCCCGGCTCCCTTTGCAGGCATAGTGAACGACGGCCCCGTACGTAAACAGCTCTCCAGTCAGGACGGCATTGGCAGGAACCCCGGGTGGCCACACGATATGGCTGAGGGAAAAGGTAGCGTGAATGGGCACATCAGGCCTGTGAAATGCTTTAGCTTGGTAGGTCTCCACACGGACACCCCCTGCTGTCGAGAAGCCGCTAAAGACACAGGCAGATTATCGCAGCACCCTACAAATAACAGATACCACTTTCCAGGTGACACCCCCCCACCTCAAATATTCATATGGTACCGAGGACAAGAAATTGATCTGTCAGTGAAGTTTGTCTTGGTTTTGTTCTCTCTTGAGGTGTTTCTGTTTAAGACAGAAATTTCAAGCTAGACTTTCAAAGAGAAAGTCATAAAAAAAAGAAAAGAAAGAAAAAACAAAACAAAACAAAACAAAAACAAAGAGAAAGTCACTCTATCTACGTTTCCCCCATCTGTCCTTACCTGAAGTCTAAAAAAGTAGTAGTATACAACAAAAAGTCAGAGATTACACAGATTCATTAAACTATTGTTTTTTTTTCTTTTTTTTTTTCATTAAACTATTGTTAAAATGACAATCATATACTCGCGTGGCTCAAAACTCTCTCATAACTGCTTACGCTTCCAGTTCATGGATCTACGATGACCCTTCCAACAATTTTTCCTTGAACAGGTGACGGTTTAATATGCCAAACCGGGCCTATAATCTATTCCTAAATTATCTTTCAAAAAGGACAATTCTGAGATCCAGATTAGTGTAGACTGGTGAAGATTCATCCCTCCTTTTCTGTAATGTCTCCAGTTAGAGTTAACAATGGACAAATCTTGGGCTACGTGCAAAGAGCTGACTGCACTCAGGCTACCGACAAATTATTCAAAGGCCACTGATTTAACAGCCTAGGGTGTCCGTTAGATCCCAGGCAACCCCAAAGTGATCTCATCCAGGGAGGTAGGTTTAAAAGGTGGAAAGTCACTGAGCGTCCCCGTGAGCTGCTTCAGCCCTTATATTGATCCCGTCTCCCACTGGCATGCGTTCCTTGGTGAGCAAGATTTTATCTACACAGAGTCCTAAAAGGAAGCTAATTAGAGCCAGACCAGTAAACGGTTGGTCATCATCAGTTCCAGGTGAAACTCAGAGAGAAAGAGAAAACAAAAAAAATCAGTGAGACCCTAACAGCAAAACCAGAGATGAAGCCTGGCTGCTGAGAGTGGGGACGAGCCAACAGCTCCCCAAGGACCCGCCTTCGCAGCCGCGGGGTAATTCCAACTGTTAAGGACGACAAGTGGTGGAACTGGGCCCCTGGGAGAGCGGGAGCCTCTTACGACCTGGTTCCCGGGGATCTGGAGCTCGCTGGCATCATTACCAAAACTAATGGAAGTCTCCCATCGGCCAGGGAAGCCGCAAAGGAAATGTTTGGGGAGACAAAGAGAAAAACTAATTTCTCTGAAAAATCCCCATGTGTGAAGGCCTAGAAAACCAGAAAGCAGATAAAATTTGATGAAGATTCTAATACATCCACAGATGCACTTTGGGGGCGCATGAGGCTGTGCCTTTGTTTTTGAGAGGAGTCACTCTTTCTCCACAGAAATTAATTACATTGTTAGGATTATAATTTGAGACAAGTTTCCATCTCGATTGGGAGGAGTTAGAAGGGCCCCTGAATCACAGGGAAAAAAAAAATTCTCCGGGACTAATTTATCCTGAAAATGCAACAGAAACGCCATAATTGTTAAAATGTAAGACAGATGATCACTTCTGTTTCAGTAAATTCAATTTAAAGCGTCACTGTCATCTCCCACATTCTTCACGCACACGGAAGGAAAGCAAAGACGGTGACGTGTGGATTTTAAGGACTGTTTTGCTTCTGAGTGACTTTGAAGAGGACGAGGAGAGTCGCCCCTTTCCCTGGGGGGGGGTCAGGCTGTGGTAACAGGGTGAGGTCTTTGAGCTAAAGGACCGTATCGTTTTGCACGTTAAAAGAAGGCAAGACGATGGCTATTTGGAGAGACGTGTGTTTTTGCTCATCCACGTGGTGTGCAATACGGATCGTGCTTTGAGGGGCAGCCGTCGTGCCCAGGATAGGACCCAACTCTCCAGGCCAATCTGCCCTCGTGTCATAGAACCATACGAGTCAGGAGGAAGATGCTCTCGAGATACTATCGTTAGTATCATATGGATTCTGGGGGCCAGGGCAGCTCGTGAGGCGTCCCTACTCATGAGGTCCCTTGGGAGACGCCACCCCTGGCCCCAGACGCCCGGCCATCAGAGAGGGTCCCCACAGCGCAGCCCTTGGCGGGTACTTCTGAGTCTGAGTGCAGTCGCAGCGAAGGGGAGGATGCCGGGTATGGAGGCCCTGGGCCCCATGTCTGGGGCGTGCAGGGGACGCATGGCTGCTGGGTTGGGGGAGAAGGTGACCAGCAGCACCGAGCAGAGGCCAACACAGGGGTGCACGTGCCGCCCGGCACACGGGGTCCGTTTGTCTCCAACGCAGGCATGAGAGCAGCCGTGTCCCCTCTCCCCTCCCGACCCCTAACCCGGTCGGAGTTCCATTTTGTGATTCCGGACCGGCCGGTAAAGATACCGTATAACTTACACGATTTGTAGGGACTTGAACTCTGTGGTGGTTGTTCTGTTGCTGGTGTTACGGGCTCTGCGGCCAAGAGGCCGAAATAGCCCTCACTTACCCAAACACTTGGGCAGAGAGCGATCCCATAGGCCGTTGGCCATGCAGGTTAGGGCGGACGATCCCAGCAAGTAAAACCCCTTCTTGCAATGATACATGACGCTCGTCCCATATTCAAAACTCTCGGGGAAATTCTGTTGCCTGTGACGAATGGCGTTTTCCACAAAGCCTGGATCCGAGCAGTTCACCACTAGGGGAGGGAAAAGAACGCAGCATCGTTTAGACACAGTCATAAACAGGAGGGCCCGCTCCACGTCCCGACGGAAAGTGCGTGAGATGAGGACGTGGCCGTGGAGGCCCCACGAGCCTGTGCTCCCCCGACGCCTTCCGCTTACTGCGTCGTGGCCGCGCTGCCAACACCGCCAGGCAGTGCACCTGCCGCTGCGCGAGCCTGACGGCCTGACGCTAACTTCCTTCGTTTCCTAATAACCGACCTCCATGCAGCGTCCAAAGACGGTTTTCTTGGTTAGGTTTGTGTGGTGGAAACGTTAAGATAGAACCCGCCGACATTGGGTGCATTTGGGTATTTTTACTGGGGTGCAGTATTTCCACTTCCCGTGGCACAGCAGAGTCCCTGCCCCACCCACCCACGTGCACTAATTAAGGCCCCAGGACGGGCCCGAAGCCGCATCTGCTGTCTGCCCCATGCAAATAAAAATGCCAACTGTCCCATCAACACTTGATAGAAATGTAACTGAAGGCAGCCTCTGATGCCGGCCTCCTCTGCAGCACCAGCCCGCAGGGATGTGGCCATGCTTGGGGTGCTCTGGGGGTGCAGCACGGTGCTTCTGCAGGTGCCAGGAGAGGAAAGAGACCTGATGCACCGGTGCATGGTGAGCTGCGGGCAAAACAGCGACTCTCCAGATATTTCTGGCTCACGAGGGGCCGCTCAGCTGGTTCGGCTCGGTCCCCTCCTCCGAGAGAGCGACCTCCTCCCTCCTCGGACTGCGGGGAAGGGGTGGGGCACAGCAGAGGATACGGGGATCCCTTCAGTGCTGGAAAATCCTGTTCTGTGCTTCTCAGGGCAACCCTGAGCTTACAGAAGGAAGACACAAGTTCTTTTGAGCCAACCCAACAATAAAAGTGTTTGCGGAGCCCAGGCAGGTCACTGTGAGGCTCGGGACACGTCCCACCCACAGTAAAACTACAGCCAAGCCCTGAGCGGCAGCAGGAACCGCCCGCCTGGAGGACGTCACACAACTTGGCGGATGAACCACCTGTGTGACCCGGAAGACAGCTGCACAGGTGCATCCTGCATTTGGAGTGTGAGTCCCGGAGGGTCGCGTGTCCGCGTGTGCCTACGTGCCCTCGGGACTCGGTCCACGGCATAGCATCGGTCTTGTCCCGTGAGGGTAGGGGCGGCTCAGGCAGCTGGCCGGGGTGGGGGGACCAGGCCCCGAGCCCCTCTGCCAGGACAGGGCCCCATGATGCCCCGTGCAGCCCATGTCAGCGCTGCAGCCAAGTTATGGCCTCCTTCCTGTCCTTGTGGGGTTGGCCCTACTTGCCTTCCTACTGGCCAGTGGGGTGGGCTGGAAGACAGGAGGCAGACAAGGCCAGGGCCATCTCGGCTTGGGAGCTGGGAAGAAGGATCCAGCTGGGGCGAGGACACAAAGAAGAGGGAGGCCCGGGAGGGAGGGCTGCAGGAGGTGTGAGATCCAGCTGAACCCGTGTCTGCAGGCCAGGGAGGCGAGGCTGCAGTCCGCCCGAGGAGGAGGAGGAGACTTTGGGACACCTGAGTCCGTGCCACCTGCTCCGAAATACCAGGCTGTGACCTCCGGGGGGCCCCCTGCCTGGCGTTGGAGACACGAAGGCCCTGGGATTACCGGCAGTGCCCTGGGGTTTCAGGTTGCGTGGAATCACCTGGAGAGGACACTGGCGCGCTGGGTCCCAGGCACGGCCCCATCCCCTCGTGGTCCGGCACCCTTAAGTTAGTACAAATGCGTGACAATGATGAACAGTCCGTGATCCTCAACGGGGAAAACGGAATTGCTCCTTATGTGGGAAGAGTTACGCCGACATGCACCCCAAGTCTGCCCGTTATCTTTTTGCCTTTCCAGTCTTTTTTTTTAATTTATTTTTTATTGGAGTTTGATTTGCCAACATATAGCATAACACCCAGTGCCTTTCTGGTCTTGTCCTGTCACATCAGCCCTGAGCCGCCAGAGCCGGATGCAGCTCCCTACATTCCTTCCTCGATATTTGGAGGCTCCGCTAGGAGAGCCCGCTATGCTCTCTGCTGGGGCAGCAACAACTTGGTCCAGCAGAGGCCCGGACAGCACCTGCTAGGCACCCGGAGGCGGGCGGGCAGGTGGGTGGGCACGGATGCGGGGGTCTCTGTGTGGAGCCTCCTTAGCCCAGGACCTGGCCACCCGTGCCCGCCCGCCATTTGCTTCGACGTGGATGGAACTGGAGGGTATTATGCTGAGTGAAGTAAGTCAATCGGAGAAGGACACACATTATATGGTCTCATTCATTTGGGGAATATAAGAAATAGTGAAAGGGAATAAAGGGGAAAGGAGAAAAAAATGTGTGGGAAATATCAGAAAGGGAGACAGACCATGAGAGACTCCTAACTCTGGGAAACGAACTAGGGGTGGGGGAAGGGGAAGTGGGTGGGGGGGTGGGGGTGACTGGGTGATGGGCACTGAGGGGGGCACTTGATGGGATGAGCACTGGGTGTTATTCTATATGTTGGCAAATTGAACACCAATAAAAATAAATTTATAAAAAAAAGAAAAGTGATTTTTAAATATTTTTTTTTAAATGGAGGGTTTTTACAAGTTATAATCCCTTACAGGTAAATTTTAAGTAGAAGTTGACTCAGTGAATTACCCAAACAAGTCAGACCTGAGCTTCAAATGTGTCAGGGACAGTCATTATTTCAGGATGATGTTTAGTTTTAAAGCTGCACAAAAGCGACCACGCCCAAATTATGTAGCAATGGCATGGGGAGCATGGAAGCCTTAGTTCTGAGGGTAGACTGGGCACATGTTCAAAGCTTAATCCAGTTTTCAAAAAGGACCATGTGCCACGTATCACCCTATAACTCTAGCATCTGCCTCACTCGGGAACATGGAGGTACACCGAGCATTGAACGTATAATTGGTGCACAACATTGGAATGTAAAACTATGACTCTGTTTCTCCATTTTTATTAAGAATTATTTAAAGTCACCAAATTGCACACAAACTGGCAACTATATAATCCTTATTCCTTATCATTTTTTTCCCTGACCTTTCACTTCTACAAAAATTCCTCAGTGTAGTTTAGCTCCTAAGATTTAAAGAAAATTGTTCTAATAAAAATTCTGAATGGACTGACAAGCATGGTGGCCACAGGAGTTCCTGACTGCGCTTCACACTAGAGGATCACTGAGGAATCGAGGCTGGAGGTAAGAGACCCCTTTCTCTCAATGAGCACCATCCATGCAACACATGGAATGAGACTGGACTCTCCATTCGGTCTACTGAGGAAGGCAGAAGGATGCTCAGGGTAGCCCTGTTGACCTCTGACTGTCACGTCCTGTGGTTTCAGTGCTCTAGGATCAAAGGAAGGAGGAAAAGAAGGAGAAAGGACAGAGGCCTCGGGGGGAAGACCTGTCTCCTATTTTCTTGATTTTTTTTTTTCTGAAAAATCTGTGTTTCTATATCTCTTTGGTCTTTACTCCTGCTTTTCCCATTTTCTTTTATAGCTCATAAAAACCTACCATGAGCAAGAAAATAAGAAAATGATGCTTCGTAAGCTAAGAATAGCCAATTTAAATTCGGTGATGCTGGGAAAAAGGAATAAGAAGCAGTTCACTGCATTTTTTTTAAAACATTCTCATAATTGGTTAGAGTTCCATGTAGCACGTTTTTAAATTGTTTTCAACGGGGGCACCTGGGTGGCTCAGTAGGTTGAGCGTCCGACTCTTGGTTTCAGCTCAGGTCTTGATCTCAAGGTCCTGGGATGCAGCTCAGTGTTGGGCTCCACACTCCACGTGGAGTCTGCTTGGGGATTCCCTCTCTCCCTCTCTGTCCCTCCCTCTTTCTCTCTTTCATTCAAATAAATAAATAAATGAATATATATATATATATATATATATTTATTTAGAAAAATAAAATGTTTTCAACAGGAAGAATTACACAATGTTTAGAGAACAACGATAACTATGTGGTATTCAGTGTGTTGCTAGAATGAACACTTTTGGACGTGTTTATTAACTAGTTGAATCAAAAATTTTAAAATGGGATTACTGATGGGGAAAAAAAAGCAAAAAAGAACAATAGCGATTTATGACTGTTTTTCAAATATATGAAAGTTACATTTTCATTTTTATCAATACCTGATAAAGATGAAGTAAGCTTTAGCTTCAATTCAGATATACAGGTTTGATAAAAGATAAACACTCTAATTAATTATAGTGGATTGTAATTGATTGCAGGACTTTCCTGAGCAAACAATAAATTTTGGAGGCATTAGACATGGTGGGGAGGACTGCGGACTGTGCGCCAGGCACTTTGTGAAGAATTTCACAAGCATTGGATTGTCTAGAACTCCATAAACATGTGAGGAGGGTTCGCTTCCTTGGGCGTGCACGTAAGGAAGCTGATGTGAAGAAGCTCTGACCATAGACCCTGCATTGGGTTACACACGACGAGTGAGTGGAGAGACTGGGCATACAGCGTGGCACCCGCCCCGAGCAACTCTGTGCCACACGCTGAAAAACCCGAAGGGTAGACCTCAACTCCCTTCTGCCCCCTGGGAAATACTCTTCAAGTAGGGATCTAAGGGCAGCTTCTGGGAGCCGCCCGCCCCAACTCTTCCCTGCTCTCGGCAAGAGCCTGCTATTCAATTCCGGGCTCCCCACAGCGTTCAGTAGCTACTCCTGGCTGCCCTTTATCCATAGACACACCTAAGACTTGTGTTCAGTAAAGCCACAAACACATAATTGGTTCTTATGTTTCTCTTACTTTGAAAACTGTACCATTTAAAATTTTGGATAATATGAGACAATATGATATGTTACAATAATATCATAATATGTATGATTTTTGTAGACATATAAGTGCCACCATATGCATAGTGGTCCTTTAGGAATTTTTTTATTGTTTCCTTTTTTTTTATTCCTCTCTAACCATAACAGAAATGTCAGTAACCCCATTATTTTCTTAATTTTATCATAGTGTATGTAATCACATTGGAACATATATTATATGTCTCTTGAATTTAAATACCCAATCTTACAAAACTACGGGTAAGAAAGGAAAAAAGTCTAAGGCTTGTATGTAATACAAAAATCATTACACTAAGAAAGGAAACATGAACTGAATTATCCTAAAATTTGTCAAACTTGGTTTTCTCACTGGACTGATGGAGCCTTTGAGCTTAATGACACGTTTTGGAATTTAGGAAATGAAGAGGGACGCCAGGGGGGCTCAGTGGTTGAGCGTCTTCCTTTGGCTCAGGGCATGACCCCGGGGTCCTGGGATCGAGTCCCACATCGGGCTCCCTGCGAGGAGCCTGCTTCTCCCTCTGCCTGTGTCTCTGCCTCTCTCTCTGTGTCTCTCATGAATAAATGAATAAAATCTTTTAAAAAAAGGAAATGAAGAGTCAGAGAAAGCTTTTATACAGAATCATGGGCCTCTAGGATGGTGTGCATAATCTGATTCTTAAAATAGATGTGAGACACTTGTTTCCCTTCCTTCTCATGAAATCTGCAAGCACATCATCTATTATATATTTCTTCCAGAAAGATGTAACTACTAACAGAAAACATACCTTCTTTAACTTTCTAACCATGTTTGCAAAGACAGTGTTAGCAAGCTATATAGCTAGTGTCCCGGGTGGGAGCTTTCTGATTGATCACAGATGCCGCAGGCTCGGCAGAGCTTCTTGTTAAGGGCAGAGTCTGAGAATAGCGAGGTGGCCCCAGGGTGGAGACAGACTGTAGAAGCCTCTCTGTAATCTGGCCTCCCTTCAGATTTATTTGGCGTTCAGTTCCAAAATTCAGGGTGGAGTTTCTCTTTCACATCATGAATGAACTAAATGTTGCAGGACTACCCCAAATCCCATGATTCATTGACCTACCTGAATCAGACATTTGACAATCAGATATTATCAAGAACTTGAGGGAAGAAATCAAGCACAAGAGTACACCCGCATGAGATACGACATCCTAAAACTCATGTGGAATTATTCAAGGAACACGTAAGATAGGAATCGGGTTGTATGGCAGTAGACAGTAGGAAGCCTAGTAATTTTGTTTAAAAAGTAGCTATATTTTTGTTACCTTCAACTTTTTGAGTTTTATGCCGTTTTTTTTTTTTCCCTAAGGCTTCACCACCCTTATGAGCCTGTCCTTTTTGAGATCATGCTTCTCCTGGTTTTATAATAAACATGCAAATCCTGTGCCCTAGATCATATCTCTTAGATCATAAATGAAGAAAACAAAGCAATAGGGAGAAGAAGCAGGGAGTAAAGACACCTTGGAGACGTTCTTCTCACTCAATCCCACCAGGACTGCCTCTGCCAACCATTTCCCCCTTCATCACATGTACTGGTAGCAAAAGACTTGACAGTGGAGCACAGATTTAAAGGTTCTACCCTGTAAAAGGCAGGGCCCAGAGAGTGAGAGGATAAGCCATGGAGTGGGAGAAAACATTAGCAAAGGAGGTACCTACCAGAGGGCTGTTAATCCAAAACATACAAAGAACTCTTAAAACTCAACAGTAAGAAAGCAAGCAACCCAAACACAGACTGGACCGCAGACCTGAACAGACACCTCAGCAGGGGGGATACACAGCAGGCAAGTGAGCACATGGAAGTGCCCCACGTCCATGTCATCAGGGAAATGCAAATTGAGACAATGAGGAGAGGCACTGCACACCCACGACAACGGCCCAAATCCAGGACACTGACAACACCCAGCGCTGGCAAGGATGCAGGGAAGAGGGACTCTCACCCATCACTGGTGGGAGTGCAAAACGGTGCAGTTACCTTGGAAGACGGTTGGCGATTTCTCACAAAATTAGACACGCTCTTTCTTTCTTTTTTTTTGATAAATTAATTTTTATTGGTGTTCAATTTACCAACATACAGAATAACACCCAGAGACACGCTCTTTCCACACAATCCAGCAGTCATGCTCCTTGGTATTTACCCAAAGGTCCACACAAAAACCTCTATTTACCAAAACTTGAAGCAACGAAGATGCCCTTCAGTAGGTGATGGATAAATAGTGGGTGGCCCATCCAGACCCTGGAATGTCATTCAGCACAAGAATAGATGAGCTACCAAGCCATCAAGATATGTGAAGCCTCCAGGGCATATTGCTAAGTGAAAGAAGCCAGTCTTAAAAGGCTCCATCCAGGATAATTTCAAGTATATGACCTTCTAGAAAAGGCATAACTATAGAGACAGTAAAAAAGATCAGTAGTTGCCAGGGGCTGGTTGGGGATAGAGAAATAGACAGGTGGAGTAATGGGGATTTTAGGGTAGTGAGGCTATTTTGCATGATACTCTCAGGGTTCATACATGTCATTACGAAAACTGGTCCAAACCCATAGAATGAACCACACCAAGAGTGACCCTGATGTACACTTTGGGCCCAGAGTGATGAAGATGTGTCCATGTGGGTTCACCAACTGTAGCAAATGCTCTGTCCAGTGGGGATGCTGACGGTGGGGGAGGCTGTGCCTGTGTGCGGGGAGGGTGTACATGGGAAATCTGTTTCTTCAGTGCAGAGAGGGGAGACGCAGAAGCCAGCTTTCTGGGCAGGTACATGCATTCAAAGATGTCCCCTAACTCTGCTTCCCTTCACCCTGGTCCGTGGCTCATACAATAACAACAACATTAAAAGGGAAACTTGTTAGTTTTGGTGCTGAGCAGACCGCCACGCTGCCAGGAGGCCAGCAGGGCTCTTCTGCAAGAAACTCAGTGAGCAAGTGCATCCTGCACCCGACGCCTGACCACGCCACAGCCAGAAGCCTGCTTTCTGGGGAGGGTGAGAACGAGGGGACCAACAAGACCTTCTCTTGCTGACAAGACTTCCTCTACACTGAAATAGGGTGAATCTAATACTAGTGTTTAGAGGGGAAGTGGAATTAGAAGACCTCACAGTCCCATAGAGACTTGTACCAGAACTCCACAGTTGTTAGCCCAAGTTCACATAACCTTCAAAAATTGTTATTGTCTCATTTGGATGTAACCTCCTTGGGAGCCTCATGGGAAGGTGGGTGATTGTCGGCAGGAAGCGGGAAGAAAGCTCATTACCATATCTGCCATAAAAACCCCTTCACCTTCACACTGTAAAGTACAATTCACCTTCAATGAATACGGTGTTTTAATGGAAACCAATTGAAGCAGAACCTTAAATATCATGAGCTCAGACATCTAGGAATACAAAAGTTCAAAAACAGCATTTTCTTGAAAATGCAGGCTAAAAGCTTAGATCTATATGGCAATTTTTTTTAATTTTTTTTAATTTTTTTTAATTTATTTATGATAGTCACAGAGAGAGAGAGAGAGAGAGAGAGGCAGAGACATAGGCAGAGGGAGAAGCAGGCTCCATGCACCGGGAGCCCGACGTGGGATTCGATCCGGGGTCTCCAGGATCACGCCCTGGGCCAAAGGCAGGCGCCAAACCGCTGCGCCACCCAGGGATCCCTATATGGCAATTTTTAAAGAAATGCATGAAAAAAAAAAAAAAAACAAGGAGAGAGATTCAAAAGCAATGAAAACTTCTTAAATGCAGCTGTAGGTCTAGAAGCTCCAAGTCCAAAGATGTTGTGTGGATGGGGGAGTGGATAGAGACAGAGAGATGGGAGAGAAGCCGACCTTACCTAGAGTCCTAGACTGTTGTGTTTGAACACCTGGCTAGTACTCAACAAAAGCCACGGAGGGAGTTGTGCTTTATTCTCACAATTATCTCCCCCCCATCCCGAGGAGGGAAAGCGTTTGCAGCGTCCTGTGCCTTGGGATGAAGCACCACGCCCACCGGTACCTTGGGTACCTTGGGGTGTTAATCGGCCGCCGCCCCGACCACTAGGGCCCATGCCCAGAGCCTCTCCTACCTCTGCAGGTGGGTAGGGCGCTGCTCCACTGGCCATTGCTCCGACACTGGGCTCGGGAGGCACCCTGCAGCAGGTACCCCGTGTTGCAGGTGAAGTTCACGACGTCATTCAGATTGAACTCACTGCCGTTGGTGAATCCGTGGGCGGGGTTCCCAGGGTGGCCACATGTGATGGCTGCGGGGGAAGACAGGCCCTCGTCAGCGTCAGAAAATACCCGGGCCGTCACCCTCCCTTGGGATTCTCATCAGTAGACATATGAGCCTGTCAGATGTGTGGGTGGAGAGACTCCAGGCTGTCAGATACGTCACAAGTCGCATGTGTATTTGGAAGAAGGTGAGAAAGAACAGTAAGGTGATCCACCAGTTTTAACTGTCATTGTGGAAAATGGCCAACACTGGCAAATGCACTTTCTTCAGAATAATAATTATTCTTACATCACAACAGAACACCAAATAACTCTATAAAAAAGCGGTGAGAAACAAGGGGGTGCTAAAATTCTTATATCAATTATGAATTTTGATTATTCTCCCCTTAGAACACACCAGGCAATTTGGTGAAACCCTTGTTTTGAGACATTATAGGGACTTGGCTGATCATTTAAATTGCGTATGCATACATTATCTCAATATCAATTTAAACATCATGAAATTAGCAAGAACCATGTGTGCCTAGACAGTATTTTCTTTGACAATCCCTATTGTACAATCTTTTGAAATGTAGTGAACTGTCATTAATGTCATGCCCTAAATAACAGCAATACAAATCCCAAAGATATCCTTCCGTGGCCCTTTCCAAAGAAACACATTACAGTCTTGAAAGTAGTGTTTTCCTCCTCATTTATCTTGTCAACAGCTCTTTCTTCTAAGCAAAGCTTTCACCCCTGAACTCTGCACGTTTACCACTGCACCAGCCCAGATAATACCTGTCATTATCCCAGAGCTATATCCACATTTCCTTTGTTTAATTCAAGGGAAAATAAAGAATATACTAGTGCAAAGAAGCCAACTGGTTTAAAACAAAATTTTGCGATAGAGTATGAGAGGTCTTCTAAAAATACGGGTCAGTATTTATCTTGGATGGTTTAACACTTGAGGACAATCATTATATATGGTTTTACCTCTTCTGTTAGGGGAAGAAAGAACTGCTTACAAAACTCTATTCTAGATGAAATGATGACAAAAATACAAAACAATACCGAGGATCGGGGCATGAGGCTATTCTGGGGACTCTGCAAAGCCGACCTGCAGACTCAGACTCAGCATCTTTTCCCTCCTATAATTAGGTTCTATTTCCACCTTGTTGAACCTGTGATGGCATCGGGAACATGAGCGCATGACATCACTTGTCCGGGGACCTGTTTGAGATGAGTTAACGAGCGCGTGAAGTGTGGACAGGAGTCTGGAGGCATTGGGGGAAAACAGAATGGGGAGTGGATGGGAGAGAGAAGGGGAGGCCGTGCCCTTAGGGCTCTCGGCACAGCTGGGAACACTCTGAGGCTACCCACGTCCATGCTAAGGCTTCGCACCAGGAGAAGGTGTGACCAGAGCAAGCACCCGCTGGGGGCGTCCACAGAGTACTTACGGACACAGACCGGGGTCTGTCCGGACCATTTGTGGTCCTGCAAGCATATCCGGACGGAAGTTCCAACCAGCCTGAAACCGGGATTGCACTGATAAACCACAGTGTCCCTGTAACTGAATCCGTCTCCACTGATATGACCGTTCACGATTGGATCCGGGGAACCGCAGTGGCCAGCTACAAACATAAGTAAAACCAATAAGCTCACTTTGGAGAATTTGTCTTGTATAAAAGTACTGCATTCACACTTTGTTTGCCTTTGCCATCAAGTGAATAACATCGTCAAGTGCCTGGCCTTTGGGGATTCTCCACACTTATATATATTCTTCTTTGATATGGTGTCTTTCTTTGTGACCTGTTTGTTTGTTTTTCTCAAGAATTGTGAGTAACGAGTAATATTTCAGATAATGAAACTGCTAACAAATATGATTGCTAATGCAATTATTGCCCCATGCATTTCTTTGACTTCTTTTTCTTACTGAGATTTTATGTTATTTATCTTGTTATGGTATTTCCAAATAAAAGCCATAAAAAAGGGAAGAGATGCTCCCGGTTACTACAGATAGGTTTTGTAGCCTATTGAGCCTGGAAGGTAAGGAGAAGGATGGTAATATTTCCAGTGTGAGACAGTAGATCACTAAACTCTTTGTGGAGTTTCCAAGGCAAGATGAATATCAGAAAATATGCTCCCTTTCAAACCTGTGCATCTGGTTAGGTTTGACGCTGTGACTATCTAGGTGGAAGTGGCCCGTGCTGAGCTGAAAGAGGAGGCTAGCATTCAGGGGAGGGGGGTCCTGAAGACAGAGCGATTTAGGAGAAGCAGGATTAGGGGCGTTAGCTGAGGCCCAGGGTCCCTGAGCTCGCCCATGAACAGTGTGCAGAGCGGGAAAAGAAAAGGCGGGACGAAGCAATCGGGTAAAGGTTCACACCAAAGGGAGGAGAAAAGCATGGACAGGAAGCAATCTGAACTGAGAAGATGACTACTCGGCGGACGTGGTGCCAGATGAGCTTCAATGACAGAGAGCGTCCACGTGGAGCAGGAGGCAAGGAGGGGGACGAGGATCCTCGGCTTGGCTCAACGTCAGTCCGGCTCCTGAGCCTTCTCACAGGCCCATCCACATTCCTTCCTGGAAAATCCAGTTCTAGGAAAACTCTGCTAAAAAGCCCCCACCCTCCATATCTGAGGGGCTCCCCCCACCCATCTCCCAGGAGAGCTCTGCCCACCTGGCCTGCCTTGAGGGAGACCCTGCTCGACCGAGTTAGCCAGAAACTGCTCCGCCCTGAAGCTCCCCGTTGGAGACCCCCCTCCAGGACCGCACCTGTCCTGGGCTGTCACCCCCACTCCCCATGAAGCATCCAGAGTCCAGCCGCAGCTCTCCCTCCCTGGAAAATCCCACTGCAGTGGCCCTGAGTACAGGCCGCCTTCCCATCCTTATCTAGTGTCCTTGAGCACTTGCTTCCCCCTCAACAAGCACAGGTGCCATGCGGCACAGAGGAGCCTTGGGAGGGCGGGTCAGGTGTTTGTCTGTCTCTCCATTCTCCTTTCCACATTCTTCCCTTCCCTTCTGTTCATCCTCCTTCCTCCTCACCTGTCTCCCTTTCCTTCCTCCCTCTCTCCTAATCTCGATCTCTCTCTCTCTCATGGAAAGAGTATCTTACTAATCAACACAACATGAAGCGTTAGGAGGACCCGACATGGGACGCCTGAGTGGCTCAGCGGTTGAGCATCTGCCTTCAGCTCAGGGCTTGATCCTGGAGTCCCCGGCTCGAGTCCCACATCGGGCTCCTTGCATGGAGCCTGCTTCTCCCTCTGCCTGTGTCTCTGCCTCTTTCTCTGGCTCTGTCATGAATAAATACATAAAATTTATTTTAAAAAAAGGAGGACCTGACATTACAAGCATCCATGTTACACACGCATTTTGGATAAACAAGAAGAGAAAGGCATCCACCGCCAGTTCCTAAATTACCCACCCAAGCCTCAACGTTTCCGTGGGGCGGGAGTGACACAGCCTGGAGCACATGCAGAGTATTTTGCCGTAGACTTCCCTTGGCCATTTACTTCTCAAACAGAGCACACAGCTGTCAACGCTTTACGCAAAGTAGGCTACCTCCAAGGTCGAGGAAGTTGCCAGCTGTTCCCATGCAACAATTGGAGTACACTTCACCATTCTTTCTGGAAGAATTTAAAATAATAATCTATATATCTGCTGAAGACAGTGTTCAGCAGCTCTGCATTCTCCTGGGTTTTGAGCTAAGTTTATTATCGGCAAGGTGACTTTGCAGAGCGGAGAGGGAGAAAACCAAATCGATGGCGAGGCATCCCTACTTGGACACCATTTATAAGAGGTCAGGTCAAAAAAAGTCATGCTGGATTCAGTTGATTCTTTGTTGCCTTGACAGGTTCTTTGCATTTGGGCCAGATCAATTAGGTCGATGCCGGCAAGAGGCCAGGTCACCTCCCCCACACCGAGCCTTGATGCACAGGAGGAAGAATGCACCCCGTGGGCTGGAGAAGGAGCCTCCAAAGCTGTAGATGTTAGCACAGCCTGTGGCCTGGGCTCCACGGCCGTCCCGATCCCAGAGGCTGCCACAAGCAAGGTACACTGCTGGGCAGGGGGATGGAGCCAATTTCCAATTCCAGTGACAAGGACTAGTAAGACAGCCAGAGGCGGCCCACAGGCTGGGCACAGAGAGCTCACGGAGCCCAGTCACTTGTGACAGGACCACTTAGAGATCTGCTTTCTAGAAATGTGCACCACAACAACACAACCTGATCTGCAAAGACAGAGTGGGCCACCTACCCCCAGTTGTTGTCCTAGATCATGCCAAGTGCTCTGGGGGTTCCTTCTGGAGCCTGCCACCACTCCAGCAGGAGGGGGCCTGGGGCCCAGACGGCTTGGTGCTGGAGACGGTTCATCGCAGTGGAAAGCCCCCATCGTTTACGCAATCTGCTCAGTGTCACCCTGGATTTGGACAGACACCCCTGGCTAGACTCACTTTATAAACATTTTCTTTTCAATTGAGTTTTCAGTAAAACTGTAGAGTTTGAGGCTGCACTGTCTTTTTTTTTTTTTAATTTCTGTTTTCGGAGATTTGGGCATTTTATTTATTTATTTTTAAAGATTTTATTTATGTATGCATAAGAGACACAGAGAGAGGCAGAGACACAGGCAGAGGGAGAAGCAGGCTCCATGCAGGGAGCTCCACGCAGGACTTGATCCCGGGGCTCTAGGATCACGCCCTGGGCTGAAGGCAGATGCTCCACTGCTGAGCCACCCGGGCGTCCCAAGGCTGCACTGTCTTTTGAAAACCTGGCACAAGGCTTCTCCTAGTAGTCAAGGAGATAACCGTATACTTTCAAAATCAAAGGGTTGGCAGCCATGTGTGGAAACAGCAATTCCTAACAGCGACTCTTTCCTGACACCTGGTCATTTCAGTTCTCTGAGGAACTGGCCTTAAATACAAAAAAGAAAAGAGAGGATGTTTTCCAAAAACACTTCATTTCTGCTCAGAGCCTCAAGGGGAGAATCAACAGCATCACCTGTGACTTCCACCTCCTAATTTGAATGCAGACCAGGTGACTTCCCCATCTGAAGCTAAGACAGACCAATATGATTTTCCCTTCTATGACTTTCCAGCCCTCTTGTGGGTTCTTTTTTTTTAAAAAAGATTTTATTTATTTATTCATGAGAGAAAGAGAGAGACGCAGAGTCACAGAGGGAGAAACAGGCTCCATGCAGGGAGCCCGACGTGGGACTTGATCCCAGGTCTCCAGGATCAGGCCCTGGGTGGAACGTGGTACTAAACCTCTGAGCCACCCAGGCTGCCCTGTCAGGTTCTTTTTTAAAACGTTCAGAGTCATGAACCAATTACAGGCTATTTACAAATATAGAATATTCACAAAATGTCACTTAGAATATTTATCGAGAAATGTCAACATGATGAAAGAATGCTATGGGGAAAATACTACATTGGTGAGAATTTGAACTCAGTCTCTGAAGTCTCTTTCAAGTGTAAGATTCTATGATTATGATAATATTATGTTAAATCCTTTGTGATATTTCTTTATCCTTAATGTAGCCCCAGTTCTGTTACACACACGCTGTAGAAAGTGTGTCTCCGTATCTACCAGGGAATGCTTTGTCACGCCTTTCACACTTCGGTCCAGTGGCTAAAATCTGTCACTCATCGAATACTTGTGCAAGTGAACGGAAATAAAGCAACTTCGCAGTTGGCGGTGATGTCCGTTCCACTGTCAAAGTGTATCCAAACCCATTGCCTGCTAGGCAGGCGACTTTCAACTACTTGAAGATAATCCCATGATGGTTTCCAACTGGTCTGCAGTGTTCTAGGGGCTTGAGATTACACAGAGGTTAAGGTGCAACCAGGTAGAGAGTGAAAAAGAGATGTGTAGGCAGGACACGGAAGGGACTGGACTGAGGAGGGTGGGCCCCTCGTGGGGAGCGGGGCGGGACACGTCACCAATAGTCGGCATCAGGAAGCCTGATGCAGGCAACGTTTAAGGCCTGAAGGTTGTGCAATCACTAGCCAGGTAAAGGTGGTAGAAAGGCAGACTGTAGTTGCTGGAATGAGAAATTTTATTTGTTTTATAGTATCTGTTAAAGTAGGAAGACTATGGAGTTACGTGACCACATTGTCCATTTACTACAAGGGTATCTACCTTCATCCTTCTCAGCTTATGAACTGGACGTATCGTGCTTTACTTCACCTGCCACGCGGCAGGACGGTTTTAGTTATAACAGGCCCATTAAGTATGAACAATAGCAAAGGATAAGGGAATCTACTACCTACAAAATATAAAAAAAGAAATTGGGATGAGGGCAGCCCCACACGCTTGAATACAAGATAGCAACTCATTAAAACAATGCGATCCTACTGGAAGCCCTATGCCAGAACCCAAGGTTCCACGTTTTTGTTAGTTCCTTTGTTTTTTGTCAACATTTGGCTTCAGCTTAAACACAGGTCATGAAAAGTATTTTGCAGGCAACCCTGCGGCCAATATAATGACTCCAGGAAGTCAGTTCTTGAGAAGTGAATGCTTTCAGTAAAGTGTGGAAAGAAAATCCTCGGAGTGATCAGTATGGGCCTGCTTTATTTCTGTATCAATCCTGCTAATGGGTTTAGTAATCTGCCACTAAGCTGAACCTGATAGCACG